CTTTACTTATAAGTATTACCTATTCTCAACCCAGCCTTCTTTCACACCCATATACCTGAACATGCCCACCCTGATCAGGACTTAAAGATGCCACCTGGCACCCAGCCTGCTTTATTCAAGTGGAAGCACCGCAGCTAGTACAACACGCTGGCCACCGCTAACCTTCCGCAGCCGCCTAACTGCAGCTAAACAACAGGAATAAGGCAGGAATTTGAACCCCCTTCCCTTCTTGGTACTGACAGCGTGGACCTGACACTCGCCTGGGGGGAGCCGAGCCGAGCCGAGCCGAGCCGAGCCGAGTTGAGCCGACCGCTGCGGGCACCGAGCGCCCTCTGCCGGCCGCCGGGGCCCCGTGCCTCGGAGGGACCCTGTGCTGCGAGTGCTGGCTCCTGATTGCAGGCAGCGCCCAGGGGGGATGGAGTCATGGTTCCGCGACCAGACCTGGTGGGAAAACGTCTCCTCCCTGCACCCAATGGACTGCCCTGTGCACGACCCACTGCTGCGGGGGGTGGGTGGAAAAACGTGGTTGAGAGAGAACCCGATTTTTTTCAAGGGATTGAACAGCCCCTCCCCACTCTTCCCTACTTTGGTTATGGCAGTGGCAACTCATTGCATCTGAAAATCCCCTCTTTTCAACTATTTCCTTCTACTCCTTTTCGGCCCACTGCCTGGTTTCCACTTGAATGTCTTTCATTTCCTCTCGTATCCAGTCTCAGAACATTGGGTATTCTTTTTCCACCCTTCCCAGTAATACAAGACCCTCTGCCGTTGTGTCCTACCCCTTCACACAGTCTTTTTTACCTCCTTTGTTTTATCCATCTGTATTGTGAGCCCCCATTTCCATATTTGACCAGGCAGCATAAAGGCGGGTGATGGTTTAGAGAATGAGACTGGGGCAAGTACACAGCTAGGGGGGATCGCATGGATGCAAAGAAAGGATTCCTGACCACTTTGGTTCTTCCTTGCCTGTGTTTTAACACCAGAGTGCACACACATGAAAGGTTAAAACACGCTAGGAAAGAGGTGCTTATCACAAGGCTGAACAGTGAGCTATCACCATCAGTATCTCTAGGCCTTGCCTCCATGCAAACACAGTCATTCGTGCTATTATTTTAAAGCCTTAAAGCCTAGCTAACAAATCCCAACCTAATGGGATTTGCTTTTCCCGTCACCCTCCACTACACGCGGTTGCTTCTTGCAGGCTGCACCAGCCCTCCCAGCACTCCTCGGCTTTCACCCACCCTGTTCATTATGCACGCACATGCTGGGGTCAAAACAATACTGAAAGAAAATAAAGGAGGCCAAGGGAGAGGTGAGGAAATGGGATTGTGCAGGGCAAGGGTCATTAAATGAAAGAGGAGGGGGTGTTCTGAGCCCAGAGGAAGCAGGGATAAGGAGGGAGCACTGGCTCACTGACACAGAGGAGAGCAGAGCTCCAACATCTGGGGACTCCACACGGTATAATGTTTTTAAGAACAGGGTAGACAAACAATCTGTGCAGGTAAAGTATGGTTGAACCTTCACTGAGGCCTCCTACAGTCACCTTCCAGACCTGCCTTTGTTATTTCCATCACTCCTGCTCCATAAAACCGAGGAGGCCTGCAGCTGTGTGAGGGAGAGAAGCAGATCAAGGGTATTTGGGTGTGGAAGAAACACCCTCCAAGAGCTGAAGGGAGCTTTTATGCTGCAATAGAGCTGTGACTCAAACCCTGGTCCATGGGGGAGCAGTTCAGTAGCAACCTTGCTCCTTGTTTGTGCATTTTCAGACTGTCCGTGAGCATCTGGAGGGGATGGAGACTTGTGTCTCAGGGTCCAGTGACAGTATTGTGATCTACACTAAGTCCTTCCTTTTAACCATACTCAACCCCCCCCCCCCCCCCTTTTCTTTTTCCTGTGACATTACTGCAAGTTTTAGTTAATTATTTTTAATGGGCTTGGAATAATTAAAAAAAAGATAATAAAAAGACTTTTTCATATCTAATGAGCTCACACACCAGAGGCAGTCCAAGTACAAATGGGAAGTGGTCCAGATGCTTCCTGGACTTGTGGCCTCCTGCATCTCAAAACCACATGTCTGGATGTGTCCGGAAAGGCCTGTGCACAAATGCAGCCTGGAGCTTAGTGTACTTAAGCTATCTGGTGTGCCTTTTCATTGGACGTTTTTGCAGGGTTAACGCAGGGAGTGCTGCTCCCTGGCTTGTGCTGTGTCCCCAGGGCTGGCACAACGGTGGCAGCACTGCCTGGATAATCCTGCTCCTGCCCCAGCCTGCTGCCTTGACAAATAGGCTTTAGCGTGGCTCAGGATCTGCATCGAGCTCCTCCTGTGGCTGCTTTCCTCTGAACAAAAGCCCCAAATAGCAGAAACTTCGATATACAGCACAGTGCTAGGGCCTTTAAATAACAGCCTTTATCGCTCATTATTCCCACAGCTACCTTGAAGGAGAAAACATAAAAGGAAAGCACAGTGCAGGAAATGCTGACGCAGGCATATTTACCCTGGCCTGACTGACATAGCAAGAAAGAGAGGATACAAGAATTTACAAGATGCAGGGCCACAACTCCAGCATGGGTGTGCTGTGGAGATCTGACACACATGTATAAGTCACTAAGGGATAACAGTCTGCATTTCACAGGACAGGACCATTCCTCTCCCCCTCTCAGTTCCCCTTTTCCATTTTCATTCGAAGTGAAAAGCAACGAGGAGGGCAGAGCAGTGCTTAAAGTCAGACAAGCTCTCCTCATATATACATAAATATGAATTCAGGTGCCAGACTTCCGATGCCAAAGAATCAAAACATAGCTGCAGCATTGAGGACAAGCAGCACATGCCAGGAGCAGCAGCATCACTATGCGTACACCATGTCAGTGTGTCCCCCACCCTCCTAGTTTTAAGTTAGAGCCATACTCACCTTGAATGGACTTGTTTGCCTGAGGTGAACACAAAGCAGCAGCAGAGATTCCTTCTGGCCCAGAAAGGGCTGGAATGGCCCAGGGTTGGTGGTGGTGGTGATTTGTACCAGCTGCTCAGGCTCGTGCTCTCCAGGTGCTGACATTACTGAAGCTCCAGTGGGTTTGTGTTATAGGGAGCGAAGTGTCTGGCATCAGCTTCATAGCAGGCTGGGCTCGCCAAGCTCTGCCAGGCAGCTTAAGCCATGTGCATGTTGCATTTGGTATCTTTCAAGTGAGTTCAGAGGAACAGGGCATGAATTTCTTGCGACCAGCTGTACCAGTGGAAGATGCATGGACAGTCCTTGCCTTCTTCTGGTCAGTAGGAGCTCTCTTGGGTTTCAGTTAGAGCTGAACTCTGGACTCAGGCCTATTTACAAGTGAATATGCAGGTACATCACCAGTCTGAGGAGAAATCTGGGAAATGGCTGCACTTGCAAACCATTCCTTGGCGTTGGGCAGTCTGGAGTCCAGGCTTGGGCCACTGATGGTGTTGGATTCTGTAAGAGCATTCTCATTGCTCCCATCCCTTTATATGGTGGCTGAAACCCCCTGCTGAAAACCCCTGCTGTTTTCACAGGCTCCGTTAGAATCAGCCCTGCTTAAATTGAGAAACAATTTTCCTCTCCTGGGAAAAAAGGCTTAGAAAGTACACTCTCCAGCTACAATGCAATTTTTATCTGATTCGGCCTTGGACAACAGAACGACAAATAGGGGTTTGCAGGTTTTATAGTTCTACAAAACAAAAGAACAAAGAAGACACTGTAACATGACACAAACACGGAGAAACTCGGCACTGGTTAATCTAGCTCTTCTGCATTTACAGCTGGTCCTGAGATTAGATCATTGACTGATATCTCCTCCTTATACCATGACCAGTAAACTCCCTGTTTCCAGCAGAGCACCTAAGCATGCAATTACCTGTTAGCATATGCCTAAATAACTTGAAGTTTAATAGGACACACAATTTAAACACAGACTTAATGGGTTTGCTGAACAGTCACGGGCATTACAGCTCCAACTGCTGTTGCTGAGTTGGGTCTCAGACAGCTTAAGGCAGCTCAGAGAAAAGTCCCATGACCTCTTGCTACCTGAATCTTCACATCTACCTAAAAATTCATAGCAAATGTTCCCTGCTTATTCCAGGGAGTCCTCAGACAGAAGCCTCGAAAACCAAGCCCAGGGAAAGGAGCCTTTGCCTCACTGCTGGTATTCTCTGATGAAACAAGCTTCCTGCTCTGCCTGAAGGTTTATGTCCTGATGCAAGCCCATCAGGCAGTTATCACATGCTTGCAGATGCCATTCATTGGACACCCAGTACAAAGGGTGGCCCCTGTAGCATACACAGCCTGGTACAACCCACTGAACATCCCTCTGGTGATCCCCTGGAATGGACAAGCTGCAATAATGAGATGGATCCCACATCCTGGAGAGGAGTCACTGTACTGGGAAAGATCAGCAACAGAACCAGGAAAGTCTTTCCCTCCTGCCATTGAGAGGAGTTGAGGAGCCATGTACCTCCTCCATGGTATTATAAGGGACCCTTTGCAGACACTCCTCCTGTCTGCTCCCGAGCAAACCTCATGGTGAAAATCAGACACAGCCCAAAGGGCAAGTTCTGTTACTGGGAACAGGTGGTGATTTAAAGCATCTTAACATGTATTAAAGGAAGAAAGGAAAGGGAGCAAATGAAATGAGGGCTTAGACATAAAGAAAAGGAAAACCAGGCTGGTATTCGCAGCTGATCCCCACACTTGAAGTCAGCACAGCAGGGCATAGCAGGGAGCTCTCAAAGGAGCTGAACACAGCAGCTCTGAGCAGCCTCCTGTGCTTCAGTGAAACCCAGAACTGGACATCTGAACACAGAAGGTTTTCTACCCTGGGAAAGAAATACAACTCACAAACCTAAACACTTAAAGGGAAACCATCTATTATTAATGACAGTGTTACTGCTGCTTTCCAATAGACTGAGGAGATTAAATAAGACTAACTGAAAACTAACCAGATGCTCAGACCAAACTTCAGCTACCGAGAAGACACACAGGCACACAAACTTTGCAGTGACTTAAAACAGTTTAATGTAATTCCAAGACAAAGTGTGATTACATTTCTACACATATACAATATGCATATGTGAGTTGACAAATTCTGATTAATAACTCGTTTCACCTCAGAGACCGAAAAAATGATCAAAAAGAAACCGTGAATAACAAGCTATAACATAGTTCACCACAACGGGACCTCCTTTCTCACCCTACAGTTAGTAATATTACAATTAAAATAACTATATTCTTCTATAATGTATTTTCTGTTAAAATCATCTCATAAATTTACAATGCTATTATTAGTTTCCAAGACTAATATAAATTCACTCCATTTTTCTACAACGAAAATGATTATTAATTAGAAGCACACAACGTCATGATGAAAAACACAAGCATTTCTTTTCTTTTTTTTAGTAGCAAGAACTTGATTGGTTAAGAATTAGTTTTCTTGTAAAACATTCTAAAGCCAAGTAAAATATCCATTCTTATAACATACCTATAATATGAGACTAAGGAATAGGTTACATATAGGTCTACAACACATCAGTTTGTTTTTGTTTTCTTCTCTTAAAAGAAGAAAGACGTATTACCGAAAAGAAAAAGAAAAAATACAGGAAAAAAAAGGAAGGAAAAAAAAACAACCCCAAAACAAACCCAAAAGAGAAAGGGACAATTCACGCAGGAAAGAAGCCGTACACAAGAAAATACTGTTGCACACAATAAGTTCCACAAAGATTAACATGGATTAACACTCTTATTACAGAAACCGTACAGTGAAGGAACACAACGGCTCAGGGCTTTCGTGGGGTTACTGGGCTGAGATGATGCTGTAGAGAAAGAACCGCTTGAGGTCCAGAGCTGGGGCAGGGGCATCTTCTCCCTTGTGATTGTGGCAGCTTTTCACAGCCCTCCCCCAACTTCCCCTTAGTAGTTTTGGTGCAGTGTAGATTAACTTCCACTTTCCATCCAGAGTACGCTGGGCTCGTGGGCAGTCGAAAGGCATCAATCATTGCCTCCGTTTCCCCTCTCCTGGCTTTACAAGGGTTTTACAGCTCACAACTGTTTCACCCGTTGGTTCGTTTGATCTACCCAAAGTCTAGACTCTCCACCTTCCGAGATGCCCCTCTTTCTTCTCTCTTTCTTGCTTCCTCTCTTACTCCCTCTCTCTCTCACACACACTCCTTTAATAAAGCTATTAACGACACTTCCTCTCCTTTCAGAAATTTGATTTGGTATGAAAGATACAGGCTACATTCTGGTTCTGCCCAAGTAGAATCTGGTACCCAAAATGCCTCGATTGCTCTGTTGGTGAAACATGGGATGAGGAGATCCTTTTTTTACACCTGAAATGGTTGTGCCCTGGAAAATCTGTGGAAGTTTTGCCTTGAGAAGAATACAGAGCAAAAAAAAACAAAACAACAAATAAAAGAAAATAAAGAATCAAACACATAAGGGTTGCGGGGGAGAAAAGCCAGAAGTGTTGTACGTAACCACGTGAGGTGGAAGCATTGCAGAAGCTCTTTATTTCCTTGCTGAGGGCAGAGGTGCTGTATGTAACCATCCAGACCCTGCAGGATGCGTGCTGCCAGTGCCAGAAACCCCTTCTTGCCTAACAAACTCCAAGCCAAGGTATTCAACAAGGCTCTGTGGCTCCTTCAGGTGAGTGTGCTGGTATCTGCGGGCCTGACTCCCCCCATGAGAACAGAAGGCCAGGCAGGCACTGGGGGCAGTGAAGCCTGTGGGTTCGGTGGCAGTGCATGGTGATGAAGGGTGGACGTTTTCCATCTGACCCAATCCCTGCTGACAGTCCTGGCTTGCCGTGTGATACGTTATCGCTTTGGTAATGGGATGGGCATGGCAGCTCCGGAATGGTGCTGAGAGGAGGAGGAGGCAGGATGCACTCCCCCAGCCCCACCGCTGCTGATTGTACTGGGAGCAGCACAGGCGCCCAACTGCGAAGCATCACCCATCATCCCTTTTCACTACCTCTGCTCTAGACTGGCTGATGCAGCCCTGTCAGGCGTGATGGAAACACGAAAGGAGCCCTCCCAGGAGTACGTGAGCTCCACAACTGAAGCTCGGTTCTTCAGAGGTATTCATATACATATTTTAAATGCCAATTCCTGTACTTCCATGGCCTCAGAGTACCATTTTGCCTAGCAGACATTTAGACCATGTTCACTGGTTACCCAAATGAAAGAACACAACAGACAAAACTAGACAGCTAAGTGAGACTGGGGAGGAAGGAATGTGATATATCAAAATGCAAAGTACAGGGTAACAGCACTGACGGGAACTGGCATGGGCTGAGAAAACAGAGTTGACAAGGAGATGGTCAGTGAGCTTTGTGTTTCGTTTACTGGTTCAAAACATGTCTGTGGTGGTAAGCATTGCTTGTAAGGAAGGGGTGAACACATGAAAGCCGAATTACAGCATTATTGCCTCCGAGTGGCTGTCACACACATGCACACAGACACGCACACACAACACCCTGACCCCCCCAAATAAAAACAGGCATTCACTAACTCAGGAATTAATAGTTTGGCTAATGATTTATCAACAGTACAACATAATCCTTCCTTTGAATATCCTTCATTCTCCTGATGCGGGTATCTTCATCCAGATGAGGATCCTACATAGAACAGTGACTTTAGCATCATGCTCCCTGCTTCAATCCAAGGAGCCTGATAAACCACATTATTAAAACAAGCGAACAAACAAGTAGCTTATCTGTTGGACTAAATCTTCAAAGTGGTGGAGTGTTTTTTCGACCAGACTTTGGAAATACAGTGGATTATACTTGATCTCTGGACTGACTTTCCAACACTATGTTATATCTCGAAACAGAATATACATATTAAAGACACACTTGGACTTTTCCATTTTTAACGGGCAAAATTAAAAAGAGGCAGCTGTATTGAGTTTTTGACGGTGTCACTTATAAACACAAGATTTCCCTTAAAAAGTACCAGTTTAAATGTAAACTATAAAACACTGTAATAACTATAAAATGTAGCCAGAAAACTGTTTAAGTAGCCACAGTCTATTATTCAGTTCATATTGGTTTAAAATGTGACTCATTAAATATCTTCTAGAAGGCCAAAGCATTTTACAGTAGCTATAAACATATATACTTACATGTGCATTTTAACATCACAATTGATTAAAATACATAAAAGAGTAATCTATTCCTTGGTTTAATTTCTTTTTTTTTTATTTTCTTTTTAAAGATTCACTGTCTTCAGAATTCACTCAAGCAACAATGACCAGGGTGGGCATTTATCGCTATTCCGCCCCTATGGAGTTCAGAGTCTTTGAATCAAAGTTCAAGCTGGCTACATGTTTTCAAAAAGGCTAAAACCAGGATGAATGCCCACATTTGAGGTAATTATTGCCATTAGGTCACAGTTTGCGTAATATAAGTGTATTTAAATCCTTCTCTTTAAAAAAACGAAGGTATCCCGCAGTGCTGGGGGGTACCTTTTGGAGCAATCAGAATCCAGAACCCTGATCAGTGGGTTTGCTTCCAAAGGAGTCGGTGGTCCCGGAGCACCAGGCAACCCTGGGACAGCCGCCAACCAGCCTAGAGCTCAGGCCAGCAAGCCTGCAACAAGCCAGTTTTAATTTCTTTTTAAAGGAAAAGGAAACAAAAGGAAAACCAGAGGTGCCATAAAATAGATGGGTATCGTTTCTGATCAGAATCCCATACTGAAGCTTTCCTATCTGTTTTATTCCTTTCCAAACAGTTTGCTGGAAAAAACAGTAATAAAATCAAAATGCATCAGCATTAAATATTAACTCTATGCCAGCACTGCAAAAACTCCTTGGTTATGTTCTGAAAGTGGGATAAGCTTTGCTTTTGCTCTGAGCATTGTTGCTCCATTGCTTTCTGTTTCAAAGAGGAAACCTTGTTTGAAAAAAAGAGAAAGAAGAAGAGGAAAAAGAGGAAGAAGAGAAAGAAAGAAAGTTAAGAAAGGAAAGAAAGGAAAGAAAGGAAAGAAAGGACAAGAGGGAAAGGAAAGAAAGGAAGGGGAAAAAAAATAATCCCTGGCTGTCAGAAGTACACGCAAGTATTTACAAGGTTTGTGTGAATCTGCACACAGTTCCCCTCACAGCGAAAGAGTTAAGAACAGAGATGTCACAATATTTATCAGTGCAGTAAAAAATATCATTTTTGGAAAAAAATATACCTTTAGTATTGCCTTTCTTAGCTTAACTATGATAAGCAAAAGATTAAAAACAAAAACTTTATCTTCAAACACACATGAATAGTCTGTTATAGCAGCACTGCTAAAACTGGAAGGACAAAGCTAACCCGTAAATGAGAAACAGGAGTTCCAAACCATAAATGCTGAACACAAATCCTCCTAGTACTCTTCCTAAGACTTCTGACGAACCAAGCCAATCTGCCATTCAAATTTCACTCTTGACACACACAAATGCTCTAAACCATGTCCTCCAACTGAACACATTTGACATGCACAGAGCACAGCACGGGTCACCTCCAGTCCGCTTCTCACACCTGCACCAGCAGCTCCCCACAGGTAACTACTACTTCTGGGTCACTCCCAGCAATGCCATTTGTCACAGGGGGAAAAAGACACCTTCAGCACTGAGCCCTGGGTTAGCAGAGCTCCTTTGCATGCTGCCAGTGCTTCCTTTGAGGGGCTGCCCCTGTGGTGGGTCTCACTGCGTGCCTGCGGTGGGTGATGAGTGCAGTGGCATCACAGTGTCTCTTGTAGGTAGTGCTCCCAGGTGGAGGGAAGGAGGGACAATGGGGATGGGGACCAGCCTGGACTGGCCAGCACCTTCTGTCCAATGCATTATTCCAGCAAGGAGCCTGCACACAGCCATCTGCTGCCATCATGGCTTCAAGCACCGCTATGCAACAGTGTACCTTGCTCAACGTCAGCAGCCCAGGGTGAAACTGTCACTGTCGTGAGAGGCAGCTTTGTTGGAGTACAGCAGTGGGGAAACCCCAGCAGTGCAGATCCATCTTTTCCTTCCCATGTATGGAGGGAGCAGAGTGATTTGTAGGCACAGAAGTGGGCCACAAAAAGTAAGCTGTGGGACTCCTCCTCACAGGAGCACTGGCAAGACATAGGGATGGGGGGTGACATGGATGAGTGCCCTGGACCACAGATCAACTGCTTTGAAGCTCCCACAGCAGGGACAACTGTCAGCAGGAAGGGGGAAGTAATTTCCTTTCCACATATTTCCCTTCCACATTGCCTACCCTCAACAAAGACTATTCCTACAGACTTTGTGTACAGGTATCAAGGACTTGTTCCACAAATAGCACTGGAGATCTCTGATGGGCTGATTGCCAAGCCATGGAAGAACACACACCCAAGTCCAACATCCTTGCCCAGCTGTGCCTGGCCCAGCCATGGCAGCACTGTTTGGGTCCAACCCACAGAACAAAACCAGCATCTTAAATCCAGGAAAGGAAACACTACAGAAGTACGCAAAGCATCCAGAGGCTTATCCTCACTATGCAGCTCACCATTTCCACACCGCATTGTTGCCACTGAAACACTTTAATCAATGTGAACAATAATGAGAGAAGAATAAAGTTTTCGACATCCCCCTAACATTTAGGATAGCAGCAATATTTAGTGTGAATTTCTCTGCTTGTCAAGCTAGCTACTCAAAATTATTAAGAAAAAGAAGAGAAAGGAAAGATGGAGTTCCACAGTGTATCCCCATTGCCTGGTGGTCATGATTTTCATTTCATTTCTGAAGTGTTTGTGGGTCTCTTTTTCTCTCTCTCAGTATCTTTGGTTAAAGAAAAAAAACAGGTTTATTGCCCGTTAAGTTTGCTAATGGAATTGCCTTCAACCCAAACTACAAGACATCATCCCTTCAGAGTATAAACATGGAAAAATGTCACAAACAGAAGTGTCCCTTTCTTGGAATGTTTTGCGTATTACGACAAAACTACTGGAGAAAGTGAGAGAGAGAGAGAGAAAGAGATCTGCCAAGGCCCAATTTGCTGGGTGCAAGCAGGTACAGCTCTCCTGAAGAAGATGCAATTGCATTTGCTCTCTCAAACGATTGGATTTGGCCCAATCTGTAGTAAGAAAGTGCCCTTCAGGTTTTCCGTTCTGCTCATGTTAGTGGCTCTCTCCCCTCCCTCCTCCAATCTGGTTTCACAGCAGGACTTTGAACATACACCTCCAAGGAGAGGCAACATCCGTGCTTCATTCTGCTTCCAGCAGAAGAACGCAAGATGAGATAATGAGGAAAGGGATAGCCTTTTCACTGTGCCAACCCTAAGCTGCCCACAGAACTTCCAGTATCTAAATGTTTACCTCCCCTCTCAAGTTCCCATGCTGGTTACCCCATGCACACAAAGAACACCAACCCAACCCGCCAATCTCATTTTGAGCACAATCTGGTTGTTATTACGTAGGTGGCACCAGCAAGCAAAGCTTTTGATTCCTCTGCTGACCTCACCATGTTTCCCCTGTGACTAATCACACCACCTTTTCCATACTATGCCTTCAGGCAGGTGTGAGGGAGGAGGTGCTGCTCAGCTCCCCGTACCCACCAGAAAACACAGCTCTCGCGTGGTGTCACACCACCAAAGTGATTCAGTGGCTGTGCTGTGCATCCCCTGCAATCGCTGTGGCCCATCATCATCATCTGACCACCTACAGCTGAAAGATCAGCAACTCCAGGATGAGAAACTGAGCTCCTCCCAGTGGGAAAGAGGGCCCCTCCAATACACACCATGCGCCTTCTCACTGCCAGCCTGCACTGTTGTAACAGCTTCACTGCCAAACGCACCCCAAAAATCAGATTTGAGCACTCATGGGACAGCAGGTCAGATGGGTATGGCGGGAAAATGCAATTAATACAAGTAAAACATTACTGTGATTGAGATTGCAACCTTCCATGCTTCACTGGTCCTAGGCCAGAGGAGCGCATAAACAAGTAATTAACTTGAAGGGTTTAAGTCTGTTCTTTCGCAAAGCACTCAAGTGCATGATTAACTTTAAGTCTCTGCTGAAGTTCTACCCTATTTTTTAATGGAATTTAAACTGAGTCACTGCTTCCCCCCATTCTAACAGAGCAGGCGATGCAAATGAAAACATGAACATCTAAGCTCTAGAAACCAGAATATCTTCATAAACTCCACTACAAATAATTATAAAAGAAAGGAAAATCTACATCAGAAAAGACCTCAACAACCCCCTAAAAGCAAATTAAGCATCCTGGCCCTGTGAACAGCTGCAGTGAGAGTGGAAGAGCAGGTGAGGAACCCTGCCTTGTCTGTGGCCATGCTTTACCCAGGTAATGCCATCCATGGGCACCAGTGTCCTTTATCCAGTGATGGGACTGGGAACCACTTCTGTCATGGCTCCTCTGATAGCCCTGTTTCTGGAGAGCCATTTATCTGCTTTCTTCTTTGGGAAAACCAAACCCTTATGTGTGTAGCATAGCCTTGGATTTATTGAAAAGGCCCAGTGATCATGGCCTAGAGCACAAATTGGTCTTGATCTTGTACAAATATCCCACTGACAAAGTGATAGGGGGCTAGATCCTAGGGAACCAAGGTTGTTACGTGCCTTTGATCCAGCTCTCCGGACAGATCATTACATTAGCTGCTGTTTGGTTCTGGCCTAATGAATGCATGTTTCTGGACTTATTCTCAAAATACAGATGTGACCTGAAGGATAACTCCTGTCCCTCAAGGCTGTAACCACCCTACTTCCCCTAAGTTAAGTGGCAGAGTTCTCATCCCTGGGACAGTGTTGTTTCCCCTTCCTCCTGCAGTTTTCACAACGCAGCAACCCTTCCGATGCCGCTGATGAAGAGAAATAAAATTAATAACAGTAACAACAGTACTAAAAGAGAAAAAACCTAAACCACAAAGACTAAGGAATGTGTGTGCAATTAAAACCCAAAATATAATAATAATAAAATAATAATCATAATAACCATACAATAAAATCACATCTTTCCTTTTCATGACACAAGCAGCATGACGCTCTCGCTCCCGAACTGGTGGAAGAGAAGAGGAATGCAACAGAGAGAGCAGGGCTTTATTGTCCTGCCTCAGATGAAAGGGGATGTGTTATCTTTCCATAGGAAGAGGGGGTTAAGGTGCAAAGGCTGCTGAGAGATTGCATCCTCATCTACACTATACTGATCTAGAGAGAAGGAGAGGCAGGAGAAGAAAACAGTGCAAGGGTAGCCCAGGAACCAGAGCTGGCAACCAGGGAGGGTATTTGGTGGTTTGCCAGAAGACAGTAGCCTTGTTGAACAGCCTGTACATAGCACGATCCCTTCTTCTTCCAGACCAGCCAAGCACTTACCACAAGACAATACACTTGCCTTTCTGCCAGCTTTTCCCACCTGAGAAAGCCCCCTTCCCCACCGCCACCCAGGGAACCCAGCCCTCGCCACTGGGCTGAGGAACTTGCTGGTTTCCGGCATCTTCTGAAACACCTGAATACTCCATGCTCTAGTTAAAGGGAAATGTAGAGTGGAACCGAGCAGCCACATAGACTTCAGCCTTCACGGAAACCTTCTATCAGACTCTCTTCTCTCCTTCCTCCCCAGGCCATCCACAGGCATGGGTACTCCAGAGACACTTCCAAGTACTGATGCACCAACAAAACTACCCTCTGCACTGAACCCAACTGTGGGAAAGGCTCTCTTTAGACATGGTTGGAAAACAAGATGACCATACAGTGTTCTAGGCATGGAGGACCCATAGGACTACTGTGGTCTCTGGTTCCAGGGTCACTCTGCTGCCACAGACAATGTGTTGGGCAGTATGTGAGAAGGCAGGACGGGAAGTGTGCAGTGCCACAGCTACGTTACAGTGGGTAAGGCCCGATGTATTACAATATTCTTTTTACTTAAGAAACCTGAGTTTGACACTCTCAGCTGGATTTTCTCATGTTTACTTTTGGGGCTCCAGTCCTTTCCTGACCCCCTCCCATCGACAGACGTAGTGAGAGATGCTGGCAATAACTTGTTTTTCCCCCTTTCATGGGCTGAAGTTTTGTTCCCATTTCAGACACACCACTGGGACAACCCAACAACTCCACTGAGAATGTTGGCAAACAGCAGAAGGTGAATTCAGTTTCTGGGGAGAAAACCTGCTATTTCCACAGGACAAAACCAGACCAGTCCAAAAACGAATCCCCAGACCCTCTGGGAGTCACCCTCGGTCTCACAACCGACTCAGTCACTTCCAGCCGATCCAGTGCTCAACCAAACACCCAGCTGTATGCACTTCTAACCCCAATGAGCCTCCCCAGCACCTCAGCAAATGAGCCAAGATTGATGACGTGGGAGAAGAAAACCCACCACCACCACCACCACTACCAGAAGAAGAAGAAAATCAGCAATAACAACCCAAAATAAGAAAAGCAAAGAAGAGCTGAGAGTAAATTCCGACTAGCCTCAGTCAGTTCCTAGGAGTACCAGTGGAAGTAAACCCTTAAACCGCGTCTGTAGTTCGGTAAGGCACTACGAGGGAATGATGTAAAACTAAGACTGTGACAGTTGTAATGGCTGTGCCGAGGAACACACCACAGAGAGAAGGCAGCATCTGCACGCACACGCACACACACACACGTACATACCTGGACAATCACATTTGTTACATGCCTATGTTATATCACTTTTCTTTGTGCAATCACATTGAGGAATAGTCTATTGGTATCATTGAAGTTCAACACAAAAAGAGTAAAAAGGACTTATGACCTGTATAGTGCTACATTCTACCGGGGCAGGGGGAATAGCTAAAATGTCTCCTCCTATACTAAAACGGCTAGGGACTGAAAAGGAAGAATTCCAAATAAAACAAAATGAAACACAACTGAAATCCAACATACATTATTAGAGATCTCTTTTAAGAACAGCATTTCTCAGGGATTTATCCAGTGTGTTCAAGGAAAGGGAGAAACATCCCCATTGCTTCTGCTCTCAACCAGTGCTGCACGGCCTCTTTTGCCCCGGTCTGTTTAAAAGTTGCAGCGCTAGATCCAAATTTACGGCACTGGGACAACCCTTCTTTCTCCTCCCTCAGCCTCCCTAACCCACTTTCTGTTTTCAAGGAAAAAAACCCCAAATTTATGTATGCTTTGAGATACAAAGAGCACTGCAAAGATGGGGTATAAACTCTCTGAAATGCTGGATAAATCCCCAATCCATATACCTACTGGATTAAAAACCTAATGGATTTCATTGTAGGTGGTCTGGACAACAAATTTCTAAATGTAGCTCACTATTGGATGAAAATAACCTTTAAAAGTCTGTTGGTGAAGTTCTCCAAAAGACAGGACCCGCGGGAGGGTCCTTCTGCTTCTCTCTTTCTCTCTCTAGTTTGGTGCAGAATGGTTGGTTTTTGTGGTTTGTTTTATATTTTTTTTCTGTTCTTTTTTTTTTCCATTTTCTTTTTTTTTTTTTTTTAAATAAAAAGTGTAGAATTGGTTCTCCCCTTTCTTTCCTCTTTTTCACTTCTTCCTTAAAGTCTCCTTCATTCAAGTTTCACGCGAGCCTCCCATTGTATTGTTAAGTTTGTCCTGTTCTTCAGTACAAAAGCAGCCGCCTCACTTCCCCAGGGATGGGTGCGTCTCTCACTCCTTATTCCAGTGTTTAGATGTAAGGGTACTGGTTGACCTTGGTGGGGCTCAGTGGGTATCCAGTGTAGACTGTGGAGGCTGGAGAAGCACTGATATAGGTCTGATGGGCAAACTGAGCCTGGTACTGGCTCGGGTGGATGGTGGGTGAGGGCAGCACCCGCGGGCCCATGCTGACTGGGACCTGGTGGACGATGCTGGCGGGGTAGGTGGTGTGCTGCACGGCGTGCCGCGCAGACCCTTGTGAGGCCACCAAGTGCGCGACGGTGCCCGTGGAGCCCAGGGCGGCGGGGGCCGTGTATGTGTAGAGGTGGGGCTGGGTGGGCAGGTGAGCAGCGGCAGCCGCGGCCAGGTGAGGATGGACTGTACCGTGGCTGGGACTGTTGTGCGGGAAAGAATACGGGGCCTGAGCTATTGTTGGAGTGATGTAGGCTTGCTGTCTCCGGTGACTCCCTGTGCGATCGGTCGTGATGTGCTGCTGGGCCTGGATAAAGACAGCAACAGTGATAAGTGGTTACAACACAGGAGACAGCTCTTTACCACCTCAGTGGTGCCTGGGAGCTTCCCTGTGACCCCAGGGAAGTCCCCTGTGCTTCTCCTGACACCCTCAGCATCACCACAGTCTGCCCTTGGAAATGGGTGACAGCAAAGGGTCCCTCCCGAGCCTAGGAAGTCCTTGTGGTTTCGTACATTCACCTAAATGGCCCCCAAAAGGACAACGGAGTCCCCCAGTTTGAGCCACAGCTACAACAAAGACCCAACCTTGGACACCCAGCTCCTAAGAACATCTTCCACAAGTCCAGTCACACGCACATGGCTTTTGTTAGTGACTCTCTGCTGAAGAAACGTGTGCTAATAGCTCAGGGGGATGAAGCTGCCTAGCCATGCCTGGAAGAGGCAAATTGTTTTTGCTCATTTTAGGTCTTTGCAGTTACCATTTCCTCAGTTAGTAAAAATAACTACTTTAAAGACAAAACCCTCAGATCGATCAGATCCTGCAGCCTTCACGTAATCAGCCATAATGACTTGAGCACAGGCAACTTCTTGCAGTAGGACAGCAGCAACGTACTTTTTCAGGGATTTCCTAAGTTGGGTTTTGTTTTTGCATTGCACAATAATGTCAAGGAGTTTTCTCAGTCATTTGTAGTCAGAGTATTAAATAACCAATAAAGTAGGAATTAGAAGGCAAGAAGGGCAATGTTCCCTGTTATTTAATTCTATTCTTTCAAGCCCTCTCATCCTCTTTGTAAGCAAACCCTGCACTGTCATTGTGGTCCGAAATGCGGCAGCCACACTCTTCCCCCACTCTTGGAAACTGCATCTTGCCCACTTCCTCCATTTTCACTCACTTTTATTTCAAGTTTGTTTAAATTTTAACATTTCAACTATATTGGGGGGGGGGAAGCATTCTTCTCCCCCCAGTTATTATTAAAAAAAACCAACCCAGTTCTGCTTATACCCAGCTCTGGATACAAGCCAGCACTGTCCCCTGAGCTCTCCAGACTTCCTCCTCTTCAAACACTAGTAACTGTGCCAAAACTTCCCAACTCCCATTACCTCACCTCAGGGAAGAGAGATGCCCCAGGTGCAGTACCTGAATACAGCATTATTTACTGAAGCTCCCTGGGTGTTTTGATCACAGTCTATGAAACACCTTGAGAACAGCATGCTGCCAACTAATGGGACCTGCCCCACATTCAGCCCAGGTTTACTGTGGGATGGGTGAAACTCAACACATGAGGTCATGTATATGCACAGGGACTCTGCTTTGCCTTGTCCCACCTGATGGGGACTTCTCCTCTCCCAACCCTGCAGCTGGACTGATGCACTCCTTTCCCTTGGAAGATACTGCCCCCTCAGTTACCTATAGCTAAGGAGAATTCAGTCCTTCCTACACAGTCCCACTTCATCCTTTGTGTCTGAGCTACTGCACCTTCTCTCTTACAGTATTAGAACTCACTCTGTTAGATCATCTGACTTCAAAACACATGGTGGAAGTACTCAGGGGTGGGACATGCACTACCTCTGCTGCCGGAGCTGGAAGATCAAGGCCTGCAGTGAAGCTGAAACAAGTCAATCAAACTTGAGATGGGGCCCAACTACCATGAGACTGGAATGGGACAGCCCATGCTGGAGGAGCAGTAGGTAATGGCTGGATGACGCACCACCAAAATCAGTCTCGGCTGACTTACCTGACTTAGATTAAGAGGCTGCTGCTGCTGGAAATGTGCTCCTGGTCGCTGCTGCCTATAGGCAACGGCTCCAGACGAGCTCCCTGAAGAGTGACCGCTGGTGGAGGTCACGGTGCTGGAGGACTTGGACTTGTAGGAGGATGAGTGGTGACTGGTGGTGACTGTGCCAGGAAAGGAAACACATTTGTAGCTTACATCACATTCTTTAATTGCTCACCCTACCTTTTTCCTCACTGAATCTCTCCTCCAGAGTGGCTTTTGGAAGGAGACATACAACAGAAGCTGGGTAAGAAAATGGTTTCTCTTAATTAACAGAATACCTCAGCAGCGGTTCATATACATGGCCAGCCTGTTATCCTAGAGGCAGACAAGCAGACCTGATATTTGGACCCCAACAGGGCCTGGAGAAGGCTTTACAGGTCCTTCGGAAGTGTGAGAAACTTTTCTGCCAGCAGAAATGTACAATGGATGTACAAATTCCAAGGAGAGGAAGGAAAGTACAGTGTGCGTAGCACAAAAAGCCCTGGCTTGGCTGACTTCATGGTGAGTAGGAAGAGAGGGAGAAGGAGCTAGCAGGGAGCTCACCCTCTGAGCCTTTGTGTTCACCAGCAGTGCGTCAAAAGAAAGGACTGCCAAGTAGCTCAAAGCCAATTGCTTCAGGCCAGACTTCCACCATAAGCCCCTTTTCAACACTTTGTACTATCTAGCATTGCAGAGACTCAGGCAAACCTCATTGGTCCATAATGAAGATCCTGAGAAATGTTCTTCCCAGAAACATCAACAAATCTGGATGAAAACGAACACGTGTTTTCAATCTCTCACCCATTTTAAAGTAAACCTATGGAAAGGCAAGGCAGCAAAGGTTCACACTTGCATTTGGGAGCCTTTCACGTCAAATGTTGAGCTAAAGGCTGCATTCTGTTCTTGGGTTTGTACAGAAGTAACCGGGACTGACACTTGCCCCTGTGACTCCTGAGTGTACCAGGGCATCTAAATAATGCTATATGGCTCCCAAGAACAGATGTGTCACTTGAGAGAAGGGCAGGAGCACGGTTTCTTTGGAAAACAAAACAAACAAACAAACAAACAAAATGAAACTGAACAATGAGATTCTTCCAAGGAAAATCATTTATTTCTTACTAATTGTCTTGACGGAAGAGGTGCAATTTACCTGGTGCCAGGCTATCGCACTCTACCAACACTTCACTGGCCTGGGTTTTCAGGGGTGGCACGATGATGGTTCGGGGGTTCCCACTGCAGTGAGTCTCTGGAACCCCTTTGGTGTCATAGGTGTTCCCGTTATTCTGCCCTGTGCGATGCTGCACGGCGTAAGGGCTGTTGTTGCTGGAGGAATCGGAGTAGGGGGAGTCATCCACGGTAACACAGCTGATGACATTCTTCCTTTGCTTGGACAAGGTGCTGGAACACAAGCACACAAGTGGGAAGAGTGAATGGGCAACCATTGACTCGGAAGCCACTGTAAGACTGCTCGTGGCTGCTTAAGCCAAATCCTAGTCTTCAGAACTCACTCGTTGCTATTCCAGGAAAGCCTCTGTGGAGGTCAAGGAGTGAGTAAGACATTGTGCATAGATCTTGTATTCATGCTGCTTAGAATAGCACTGAACCAGACTGCCAGATATATTTTCAGACTGCTTTTTATATACGTGTGCAGTAGCAGCCCAGCAGTTATACTATGCTTTGTTGGAAGTCTCACCACCCACAGAAAAATGTGGTGGTTTCTCCCAGACTTCCAGCAATGATTTAATAATAGATGCTATGACTTTTCATGCTTAAATCCCGTGAATCTACAAAATGCACTCCGTTCTATTTACCAATATGGTACAATGGGCACATACTCGCAATAAGCATATGAAGCTGAGGAACAAATGATGAAAAAATGAGTAAAGTATGTAATGCTTTTTCTTTTCCTTTCTTTTCTTTCTCTGAATACACACTGGGTCTCCTGCCTCTGGTGTGGATTATCAAGGTCCTGCTGCAGCTATTTTATCTATGACATCAAAAAAGTGATTAAAAAGGAACATCAACACTTCTAAGATTAGCATTAGAAGTTCATTAGACTAGACTGCATGAGTACGATTGGGATTTGCTCTGCTATTGTGTCTAATTATTCCTGATGGTTTCTCCTTCCTGTTATGAGCTTGTTTAGGGAGAAAAAGAGAGAGCAAGAAAGAGGAGAGAGGAAGGGGGATGGTGAAGATTTGCTTAAATGGCTCACATCCTTGACAGTGCACAGACCTTGACTACAGAAAATAGCTGCTATGTTTCACTGATTGCATTATGTTGTTATGGCAACTGAAGTTTTTAAAATGATGAAAAGAAATGGATGGCACATAAAAAGCTAAGTAATTAGGCTTAATTGTAGAAACAGCCCCAACAGGAACAGGAATGCTATGAAGAAAAAGGAATCCATCTCTTAACTTCTTGAGTGCGCACCTTAAAAAGAGAGAGATACCTTTCCCATGGAAAGTCCTTTCCATTCTTTCACTCTGGCTGGTGCAGTCAAGGGAACAGCTGATTAATTCTTATTCTGTGATGGAGCCGCTCATTCCCTATCTCAGCATCACTTCTTAAGCCAGGGAAAGGCAGAGCAGATACTGAGAACTGTTTTCCTTCCAAGGACATTGTTTGCTTTATTTAGGTCTCACAGCTTTAAAGGAGCACTGGTGGGTTCCCTGCAATTTGTCCATCCCAAAATTTCTCCATCAACATTCACAAACTGCACCTAACCACCTCACTCTGAAGACTTGTAATTGAAAAGCTATCATCTCCTCCATTAAAGAACACCTTGAGGTGCTGCATTCACAAACAAGTTACCATCACACAGACTTTACCTGGGCTATCATCACAGAATCCTGGTGTGCCCCAAAGATGACACAAGAACATGTTCAATGCACAGTGAAAAAATATGTCTTGAGAGGCCCCTGCAATCCTAAAGCGTTGACACTTGAAAAAGGACAGATGATAGACAAGGAGGGGAAGTTGCTGCACAGCAGTCTGGAAAGTGGAAGCAACCCTTGCTGGGGCAGGGATCTTTTCTATGGAGAAGGTGTATGACAGCAAACCCTCATATCCTGGCTGTCCACAACGAGCTGGAGAGCACCGGATTAAAAAAGGAAAGATGGACAACTACTGTATGTGAAGAAAGATACAGCAGTTTGGATACAGTGCTACAAAAGAAGAATATTAAGCCAATAAAAATGACAAATGTTGCATCAATATTCCTCTCTCCTTCAGTAGAAACGCCTGTAATCACACATTTATGAGTATCCATTCTGCTTGCCCTTTGCAGCTACCCTTGGCTGCCAGTTGGGAAGAGAGATATATTCTCTACCTCTGACAGTTATTACACTTTATAAAGAAAAATCAAGTCACTAAAGAGTTTTCTGACAACTGATAAGGTCTAGCTATTCTTTTACAGTCCCTTCCTAACGTAAGTGGCTGAGCTGCTGAACTGGAAACACTTCTTCTTGGCTGATACTTGATATGGGAAGGCTGAGCTGTAGAACTGGAAGGGTATTTTTCAGTGTAATCTGTGCTTTTTGTTGTTTTGAAATGGGCATATTTTTCACCAGTTTGACTGGTCAAAGCAGGGGCCATCAGGAGCCTTCTCCTTCAAAGTGTTATAGCTGGTTACAACAAGAAAATCAAGTAGATCTGTTTGGCTAAACAACCAAAAAGTTATTCCAAACCCAAACCTTTCCACAGAAAGACAGTGTAGCAGGATATTGAACTCATTTCATGGATGGGAAATTGAAAAGGACCAGAGCTGTGGTCCTGCCAGGCCTTACGCAAATGCTCAGCACTACTGCTGTATGTCATCCGCCAAAGTCAGCTGGACTAATCCAGTAACAGAGCTAAAGCACACAGTTAAACGTTTGCAGGATTAGGGACCAAGTGATCAGCCTCTCGATTCAGCATGCTGCCTCAAGCGTTTCAAGCACATGAGGAGCCCCACTGAAAGCAGCTGCATTTTTGTCTTTAGGAAAGGTAGCAACTGCGGTTGATGCTAGAGAAATCAGCTGGGACTATTCATACACACCCGGAGCTTGGCACCTGCTGTACCACAGCCTGCCCTGGAGATTAAAGGTGGGAATTTCAAAAGCATCAAAGGTCCAAGTCATGCTGAAAATCAGTTGACTCACTGGCTTAAAGGTAGATGCTAAGCTGAAATGGGGGCTTTTGAAAATACAACCCAGAAGAGCCAGCACTCCCCCTTCTTAAAACCTTCTTGCTAGCCAGCAACTGTCCTCCTTCCATCTCCCTCTGAGGACTCAGCTACTCTCCCCACCTCGCAGTAATGCAGGAGTTACCTGTGTAAGGTCCAGGCTGACCTACCGCCTTCCCTGCTCACAAACTATCAGGACTGAGAGCCTTTTACCTGTTGACACAGCACTGGACTACTCAGCAAGCTTACTGTATTCCTATAACTCAGCCACAGCTTTTGGGGTTGTTTGTGCTGAAATGGAAAAATACTATTAAAGTCTTGCCCCTTTCCTATTAAGCTTGCTCCAAGCCTGGTAATTGCTTTCCCTCCTGCAAGCACAGAAGCAGCAGCATACATGATTTAGTAGTGTTGAGAGTTGCCATGTGATCCTGGTCAGCTTGTGTGCTTGCCTGCATTATGTGGGTACATGTATTTGAATTCTCTAGAGGAGGGAGGGGGCAAGATTACTGAAGTGGCATCAAATCCATGTACACAGACTGAAAAGCCACAAGCCGAGAAGGCTTTTTAACCCTTACTGTCTGGGCCTGCATCCTCCCTGTCAGAACAGCAGCTGGAAAAATATGCATTGCTTTGTAACTTTACTATTAGTTTATGAGTGGTAGCCCACTGCCAGCTGGTCCTGAAGAGCTTGTTCTCAAACTTGGACACAAAACAATTCATGTCTGTTAGCTGTGCAGACACGGAGCATGACCGTGCCTTTGAACATGCAGATGCCAAGTCTTGGAGACAGGTCTCTAACATACACCACCCTTGTGAGGGCACAGCAGAGTTGGATGTGGGTCCCTATTCCCTACAGCAAGAAAAGACCTCAAGGAAAAGTCTGACAGAGGTAAGAGAAGTTGTTTCTGCACAGGCAATGGGCAAGAAACTAAGGTGGGCACCTGAGATAGTGTTAATGGAATGCTGAGAATGAAAACTGAGAGGAAATTAAGGAAAAAGATGCTCAATTTGGTGTTAAAACAATGCTGAAGCCACTTAAACAGCCAAGGACAAGGGCAGGAACAACAGGGGTTGTAACAATGCAACCTGAGATTATTTCTCCTTGCTGAAGGCCCAGCCTAAAAGCTTGATATGGATAGCATTGCGTGGAAAGAATTGCACTCAGAATCCCAGAAAAGTCAAATGGTGTCGAGTGGGGCAATTCTTCAGCATGTGGTTCACCCAAAGTAATACAAACCTTTCAGTGTGGCTGACACTACAGCAACAGAGGCTCTCACCTCTCAAGGTCTGGGCCTTCTAGCCTAAGAGAAGAAAGCAGCCATTGCACAATGGCCTTTGAACTGGTGCACATATACACCACGGCATGTTAGCTTTACATCACATCACGAAAATTCTGTTCCAGGCACCTGAAAACTTAAGAACATGCAACCTTTTCAGTTTGCTGCTTCAGAATAATCCACCTATTCTAGGAAAGTATAGAGCCAGCCAACAAAAACTCAAACTACAACTGCAACCGCTCATGTTGAAATCTTACGCCATGCATAGCTCAGTGTTGAGAACATGCCCCTCTCTCTTCATCTCAGCCTCCATCCCGACCTGTTAATCTGCTCTCACCTTCTTTGTGAATTTGTGATGGCAAGAAATAATTATCAAGTACTACACTGAGGCCATTTTATTAGGCCACACAGCACATGCTGTAGCTATTTAAGTCATATATACTGAATTGCTTAGCAGGTTGTAAAGGTCCTGCTGCTGAAGGTTTGCTGAGAGGGCTACTGCCTATCTCTGTTATTTTAAGTATTAGCTGCATGTCGGTGTGCCTTCTGGAGATGGAAGGCAGCAATCTTCCTACCAGATGACTGTGGTTAGTCAACATATTGCTATGCAGAGTCAGTGCATTACTATGCACAGCGTAACATAGCCACAATAGGCTAGATGTCAAAAGAGAATTACAAACGGTATTTTGACCCTCACACTTGCACACCAGCAACTTGGCAAAAACACCTGGTTTGTGCTTGTCAGCAATTCCTGTGCATAAGGGGAATTAAAGTCCTCTGAAGTAGGCTCCACCACCATTGCACTATGATGTGAACAAGGTGAATAAAACTTGCACCAGCTTAAGCACCTTTTAAGCTAAAGGTGACAGTCACACAGAGACCCATATGCTGTATAGCTTAATATAGAATATACACTGTATAGTTTAATTGTAAGAGAAAGGGGAAAAAAACCAAACCCTGCAAGAATTTTGTGCCAGTTAAGATTGCCAATGATGCAGTTACTCTGTATGTTGGCACAAGAGCTGTGGTCAGTCTTTCTTGCCCAGGAAGACAATGATTGCTGTAAGGATCCCATAGAAAATCAAGCTGCAAAGGTGTTATTTAAGATACCAGAGCAGTCAGTGGGGAAGTGAGGATCCCTCCTGTCTCTTTGGGGTGGAAGCATCCACAAACCCACCCACCTGAAGGCCATCACTGTATTGCTTCAAGAAGGGAAGTAACGTTTTCTTTGCTGCTACACTCATTGCTTGGATAGGAAGTCATCTAGGGATGTCACAATAGCCACCTCCACTGCCTTTCCTTCCACCCCTTCCTCCTGGATGCTCTGCGATGTGCCCCTTGGCAGGTCATGGAAATATACCTCACTGCACCATCCTTCTGCGTTTCTCCTGCAGGCCCACATGTGCTCTCCCTAGCTCCAAGCCTCAATTCCAGGGTGCACTTGTGCCCCTCTGCTTTGTGTTCAAGTTGCTGCTTTATTTTTCTCCACTTCTAAGCTTCAGAAATATTTAATCAAGGGAGGATTTACATTTAAACCACTTGCTGAATATGTGCTCTGATTGCTGTGGCTGCAGTTGCGCTGTCTGTCAGTCTGTCTGCTTGACTTTGTTGCAAGAGCAAGTAAAAAAACTTAAAAGGAATAGATTTATATGAAAAGTATCAAGTCTACTCTCTGTTGTTACTCTCCAGTGCTTTACTGGTAACGGTTAGACCTAAATTCTCTTTTCCAGAACAAGTAACAGAGTATTATCTTACAGCACTGCAGTAAATGTCTCTTTGCCCTATAAAGTCTCTTTGTAAAGGCTGCTGAACTGAGAGTCTAGAAATTCAAAGGTGATAAATAAACAGGGTGAAAAAAATTGCTTCCTGTTCATATAATGCTTTTTACATACTTTTTTTTTTCTTTTTCTAGTGTTCTATAGGACAAAATATCTCATGTAAAATGTTGTGGGCATCAAAACCCAGGCAAAACCAGTTTCATTCCATAAAAAATGTTTCTTTCTTATTTTGAGCATTTCAATTTTTTTCCTAGTATTTGCTTACGTTTTGACAGAAAAAAAACAACCCCCTCCATTGAATCAGAGAAGAGCAGTCTTCCCCTTAATTGTTTAATCTCCTAATAATTTCTCCCCGTTATACAGAAGTCAAAACTTTTTGCAGCTTTGAAGCCTCCCCAGATTTCACTGTCTTTGGGATATTGCCAGAAAAATCTCAGTGTAGCCTGCAAAATATACCCTTGGGTTCTGACAAACTGACTTTTTCAATCAGGAATATGCCTCCTGAAAATCTCTGACCATTTCTCTGAGGACAGTCACAGTATCACACAGCATGCTAGAGATTGGAAGGGACCTCAAAAGATCATCTAGTCCAATACCCCTGCCAGAGCAGGAACACCTAGGTAAGTTGACACAGGAATGTGTCCAGGCGGGTTTTGAATGTCTCCAGAGAAGGAGTCCCTGCCAAGCTGTACCTGAGATCCCTCCTTGGTGATTTTGCCCCAGCTGGAGCTGGGGCCCAGTAGATGGCCCCCTTTGACAAGGCTCTATCCAGCAGGTCATTCAGAGCCCACCTTGTGCCACCTCCCCAGCACCTTTACCAACAGAGGCCTGACATTTTCAGATGGTTTTAAGAAGAAAGAACGAACAATGTGCTGGCCTGCCTGCTTGCTCAGCTGGTATTTCATTAAGCATCCCACTTGAACAACTGAGCTCTTCATCAGCAAGAGGAAAATTCTGCCCATATCACACCAAATTATTCAGATTTTTCTTTTGACAATAAGAAATTTGCATCCCCTGTACAACAAAAGCTCTCTCTGCTGCTCTGGTATTACAGAGAAGCTTTTCTGTTGTAGTAAATTCAAGCTGTAGGGCTCCTTTACTGCATCAGCAGTATCATATTTTATCAGCATTACCAGTCCTTCTTAAACTGAGACTTACGAACTCTTACATAGTTGAAGGATCTACTGCTTCTCACAACCACAGGTAGCTCTAATCTCTCTGTGCTGAGCAATCAATAAAATAAACATTTTTAGTCTCATGGGTCAAAGAGAAATTTCTAACCCACATGAAATAAAAGAAGGAAATGCTGTAGCAAATTCAGGAGCTGATCGAATGCCAGTGAAATTAATGCAAAGATACCACTGCTATCAATAGGATGGGATCAGTCAATTAACTTAGATCTATCAAGTGCTGTATGATTTTGTAGTCTAATCTAGAAAAACCTAATATGGTTAGAATGTGACTAATAGCACATTTCAAGTTGTTCCTTATTTTTCACCCCACACCACAGCTATTGCCCAATAGAGTAGTATTTGCATAAACATGGGCAAGACAATGAACTCTTTGCACGGTTTCATTTTTGACTCAGATCCTGAACCTTTGGGCACTGGTTACTCTAAAGCACATACTTCACTGTCACTCCCATTTGTCTTGGAGCAAAAAGAAAATAGGTGAGTAAGAAAACTTGGAGGTGATTTCCTAAATGTAATACGTTGTCAATAAGAAAGGCCTCAACTTTGGCCAGGCAGAGTTCATTGGCATTAAATACTGAGACAGCTTCCTTGACTGGAAGCTGCACTCTTGGTCCAGCTGAGAATCTGGTCTACGATCTGCCCAGGTCAAAAGGCACTGAACAAGTTGATTTCATTCTTCCAGAGACTTTAACCAAAAATTCTCATTCTGGACATGCCGTTTTCCATCTGTGTCTCTGCCTCCAATTCTCCACTCGTTCTGGTTACATCTGCACAGGCAATTTAACTCACTCTGGAATTCCAAAAGGTGCCTGACAACAGCCTGTGTCCATGCAAAATGTCTCTACATGGCTCAGAAATTAAATCTAGCTCTTAAGCTTTGGCCTTCAAGGAATGCTGGCACCCTGGCACTCTGTATAGATTTGCCATATGGATACAAAAAGTAGCCAGCGATCTGATCCCAGGCAGGAACATGTCCTGAATATGCTTCAGTCATATCAAAGCCAGCTAGTTTATGTAAGTCTGGCTCCTGGGACTACTTTCCTAACCCCTTGGCAGACCTTGCCTGAGTATTTAAATACCCCAAACTCCCAACTTGATTTCCAGACACTTTCCAGACCTTTGTTCTGTCTGACTCCTTGGAGAGGTGCCGAGTGAAGAAACTGGTCAGATGGTAGCAAAGCAGAGGAGACAAACATTAGCTGAAGTAACTGCGGGATTCCAGCTCTTCCCTCCACCCTGATCTGAACCCAAGATGGTATCCAGACAGTAAGTAAGTATTTGCACATGATTTCCCAAAGCCTGGGATCAGCACCATAGGTAAACGTGCCTGCAAATAGCAACTGTGACCCCTGAGACACCTGCCCTCTTCAGGCTGCCCCACCTCACTTTAGTTTTCAGCATCTCTTTCATCTTGCCCTTCCCTTCCTTTCCTCTAAGAGCCCTGGAAGTGGGGGCTCCTCATTTATAGTCCACCTGACTTCCATACTGACCTTCATTCAACTCTTTCTGTAAACATGCTTTTTTCTCACTACCAAACTGAGGACTATGGTATGGTTTGGGGGTTTTAAAAGTGAAATAGGTTACACTATCCTGTGGTCAATTCTTCACAAGAAACACTGGATTCATGGCAAGCCTGAACTTGACAGGCACTGAGCTCTTGCTGCCCAGTGGAGTTCTCCGGTAGGGAAAAGGGGATTGGGAACCAGTGGTGGCTGTCAGGAGGCAGGTCAAAACTGCAGCCCTGGATGCCTGAATTATGTCCCCCCTTTACAGATTTTTAGCTTTTTGAGGCCAGATGAATCTCATTTGTTCTGTGCACGTTTGCAGTGCTCCGTTTATCATCACAGTGCAGAGATGCAGAGATACAGATGGATATTTGCAGTGATTAAAGGAAAATCTGCCATGGAGCACATCCTAAATACATAAAACCAATTCTCTCTCAACAGTACTGGAGGGATAAGGTTAAAAAAAGTCCTAGCTCAGATACCAACATAAAGACAGTGTAATTATTCAGCTGTTTGCAAGGCTACTTCTCCACAACTTATGAAGCAGAGTGATGTCTTGTGACGGGCATCAGATGGGAAACCAAGAGTGCTTGCATGTGATGAAAGGTGCTGAAAAAACAGTCCTGGAAAATTAAGTCCTCTCTCATCCACAGCCGATGATCAGCAGTGGCAGCAGTTCTGGGCTGCACTGTTCACTTGGGTGAGTTAATTCTCTGAGGAGAAAACTCAGCCGCCATGGTCTTTATAGCCTCATCTACGCCTCTCTGCAGAGTCAGTCAAAACAGAACCAGTTTTTGCCACCTTTTACAATAGCTGAAGGATGTTTTGGCAGCACAATCATACCTGAGCAGCCTTCTGACACAGCCACTAATTATTTTTCAGGACCTTTTTAGGGTAAAGAGCACACATGGAAGGTGTCATTTAATAGCATTTATAGATGCCTGGCTCACTCAAAAAGAGAAAAGGTAATTTTGAGCTACCTTCCTTCCAAGCCCTTCTTTTTGTTTTTGTTTTAAACAGCTTTCTGATTTAAAGATGCTAATCACCATAGGATCTTTAAAGTCTCCTTTCAACAGTTCTGTGAGATAAGGAGAACTATTATTTCCTCTAAGAGAGGAGAAGTTATGGCACAGAGAAATTACTACACTTCCCAAGGTCACACAGCAAATGTACAGCATGGTAGGGAACATCACCTAAGTCTGCGGTGTCCTCAGCTAGTATTTTAGCCCCTCTAACACACCTCCTCTTAAATGAAAGATGACCTAGGTGCTGAGACCCTACTGTAGCTCCAGGGACACTCTCCTGGGATGCTCCAGGACATCTTTGCCTCTGCCTCTCTCTCCTGCACACAGAGAAGAGCAGAGAGCTGCTGCTCACCTGGTGGGTGCATGCTTCTGCTCCTCCTCTTCATCTGTGTCGCTGCTGATAGTGATGACACTCACGGCGGGGCTAGGGGTGTCAGGAATGATTATCGTCTGTCGCTGCCGCTCCCGAGTGGTGCTGGTGGCCACATCGCTCCAGCCGCACGTGACAGAGGTGCTGCAGGCAGGGCTGTTGTGCACCATGGCACAGCGGGGAGGCGTGTTCTCCTTCACTCGTTTCGAACGCTGAGGTGAGCTGATGGACTGAGAGGATGAAACTTCATAGGTGGACGCATTTCTGGAAACAGGAAAGGGTGTTAGTTAAAACTCAGTTTGCCGAAGTTGCTCGTTGCCATGGCTTTTGATTCCTGGTGTCCGATTCAGTGGCACCGATGTATGGAATCTAGGAAAACTGCAGAATTACCGCAGTCCTCTTTAAAGGACAGACTTTTGCATATAATTGCATATGCATGACTTATACATGTAATTGGCTGAAAAGTAGTTCCTTTTAGGAAAAAATTCTATTTTGTTTTCCCTAGAAATTTCTAAATGAGAAACACTGCCTCACAGGAGCCTGCACTGCAAGGTAGAGGCCGGTCACACAGCACAGACATACAAAACACGGGCAGGCTCAGTATGCCTTTCCCCTTCTAATACTCCCTTTCTCCTGTATCCTGCAGGGATGCATCGTGATCAGATACTTTTTGACCAGAAAAAAACTAATGGTAAAATTAGAATTTGTTGTGGAAAACATTGGCCATTTATCAGGAAATCTGCTTTCCTCAGTTGAAAATTTAATTTTCTGTTTAAGAGTCTTTCCAATAAAGATTTCCCGCTCAATGCTTCATCCTCTTGGGTAGAGGAGTCCCACGGATGGGCGCACGTTGATGGGAGGACATATACTCAGTTTCATTTCATTCCCACCCGAGGCAGCAGATACAGCAAGAAAAGAACAATCTTTTTATTATGCAAGAGAAAAACATTCTCAAGCCCTGTTTTATTTCCCATCCTTCCTACTTCTGCTTCCCTGCCTTATAGCTGTAAAGGATCCATTGGATCAGGGATCTGAACACAGAACCCATCCACCAAACAGTGCAGCACAAGTCTGCAGACGGGACATTTACCAAAGCACACTTACTAAAGCTCATTTCACTAATTTCCCACATTTTCTTTCTTCCTCATATTTCTTTTTTTCCTGCTTATTACAGAACATTTGCAGACTCAAAAATGAAAAAGCCGCTAAGTTCTGGTTTTGTTCTACAGCGGGGCTGAAGCCTGGGCTGCACGTTCAGCTTGGCCTGAAAGCTAACAAAAGGAATAGGTGACATCCATCAAAAGGAAGTCACTCTGGACCTATCGCACTATACCAACTTACACAGGGTCTTTTGCATAACAAATGGCTGCACAGTAGCATTTGCTGTGCTTTTTGAATACCAATGAGCAGCATGGAGTACCCTACTCTCCAAAGGAGCATGCTCCTCATTTGGCTACAAAAGCATCACTATTAATGAAGGTGTAGAAACCTTTTGCTCTGAAAGTGTCCAATTCCTCCTGGATGTTGCCACCCTCCCCCTGGAGAGGGAAGGGAGAGGGGAAGCCCTGCGCAGGCACACTGGTTGCAACAGGCACTCTCTTTTCCTGCCTTGCTGTGGATGTAGCTGCCTCTCTACACCAGGAATGGACTAAAACAGCTGGAGCCCACCCAAAGTAAATGCACCATTTGGGAGCAGATAAATGGGAAGGATTTAAATAGGGGCCTCTTAACTAGAGTCAGATTGGTTGTGAACTCAGACCTCCTCTGGCTCCAGTCCAGTCCCCCAGTAAAATCACAAGCTCCTCTGTTTCTGCCAGTGCACAAGGGGTGACCCATTTTGGTTCCTCCTTTGCACTGTTTTGTATTTTTTAAAGAAATGTGACAATTTCAGAGCCCAGAGGACTTTCCCCAGAACAACTACACATACATCTTAAACAGCCTTGTCCTCTGGCCAAGATTACAGTGCTGCGGCAGGCACTGCAATCATCCTACCATTTGTGAGCTGTGCCACATAATACAGTATGAACCAAAACCCCAGTCTCCTATGGGAGTTGGTAGGTTTAGGTGTCTAAGGACTGTCCCTGTATGAGATGTGCTTAAAAAATGCTCCCTGATTTATGCTGCCATGATTCTAAAAAGGCCAGTGCCAGTATTTGTTGCTGGAGAGTACTGCTGAACATAGGTGCCAACCACCTATGTTAGGAGCTAGAGAGCTGGAAGGTGGCCTAGAGCCACCCCAGTCCTCCATACTGCATGGCATTAAAGCTCAAAAGATAGGTCATCATCCCATTGCTTTTGAAAGGGCAGATCTCATGTGCGCACATGAGCGCATGTTCCTGAAGATGCACCCGGAGTTGCACCACCCTGTGGAAATGGAGACACTGCACCTCAGGAAGTGCTTCTTCAAGATGATGTGGGAAGAAAACATGTGGCGACTAGGCATTGAGCCACACTGACCTGGGAATATAATTACTTCTTTAATTATGGTGACTGCAAGGCCTTGAGTAATCACAGCTGCATAACGAGACATATGAACAGGTCTTCAGTGTCCCATCCTGCATCCCCTTCCAGCCACTAACTCTCACACAAAATGATGCTCACTGGGTATTGATTGTGCATGACTACCTCTTACCCCCTCCTCTCTCCTGACCTGGGTACGGAAGTGAAGCAGCAAAGAGCCCAAAGTCACAAAGTGCTGTCTAATCATTTGTGGGCCATGGAACACACTATTTTGCCCCACAGATGTCAGTGAACATCCCCCTCGTCAGCACTCCTTCACTGCAGGGCTGCATTCAGAACCACCCAGGTACACCAGGTGGTGACTGGGAGCCGCGGCACTCACCGGGGTGCCGACTGGTGCTGCTTGCTCTTCCTGGCAGAGGTGGTGGCAGCGGGCGGCTGGCGCATGACATGTGCAACACCCACGTTGACGGGCTGTGCTGCAGGGAGGGTGACGTGGCTGGCTAACAGTGCAGGCTGCTGCATGATGGGGTTGTAGTGGCTGCCATGAGTGTGGCTGTTCCTGCAAGGTGGGGAGACACGCACACATTTGACATGCCTCTTTCACAGGCTCCCATTGCCTTCACCAAGGCTCCCTTCTCCAGGGGACTCCTTGGCTCCCAGTCCCCCCTGGATGGAGCGTTTCCCCCATGGAAGTGACTGAATGGAGTGGCATGGGCACGGCACTCCAAGAATGGGGAATGGAGAAGCTGCTCACAGCTCTTAAGACAGGTGGGCTGCCCTTCTCCCCCTGGTTCTGTAGCCTCTCAAGACCCCATCCCTCCCACCTCCTCCAGCACTGCTGGGTACTTCAGGGAGACTCCATGCGCCTCCAGTTTACCTCCAGTCTGTCAGTGGTTGGGTGCCTGCCATGGACTCTGGGATGACGGTGGCATGCTGGACAGAAGTGTGGGTGGCCACCCCAGTCAGCTGCTGCCAGGCCGGAGGGAGCAGGATCTGCTGAGTGCCACTGGGCCATGCTTGCTGTCAAACAGAGGGAAAACAATTTCTTAACAAGAGGCATCATACACTGAGTGTGAGTAGTGGTCCATGCTCAGCTGGAGCTCTTAGTAACAATCGTGGTCATACTACCTAGCTCTTACCACATTTTAGTCAGAGATGACAAATACCGCTAGGAAATCACTGTAAAAGCCGTAAAATTTATCAATAATAGAGAGTGCAAAGGAGGGGTGGGAAATATCCTTGCCATCCATTAAACTAGGAATGGGAGGGATCGAATTTGGCCAGCATTTCAATCCAAACATCACATTCTTTAGTACCTTTTAATTTTGACTCTCCAGATCAGCTGGGCACCATGGTCCCACTGTTATTTCCCCCCTCCTACAGCCAATTTTCCTTCCCACCCCAACATGACCTAAAGTAACCTCAAGGATCTAAAAATGAGAATTAACTTTTCAAGGATCAGAAAAGAGAACAGGGGTCTGGTGCCCCCCTTACAGGGGTAGGAATCTCTGCCCTGTGAGTTAAGCCATCACTATGCTATGCAGCCATCCCTCCAGCTATGCCGCCACAGGCATGATTCAAGTCGTCCTGCTCTGGTGACTCCACACCTGAGTCAGATGACTGTTTTTTTGACTTGGGAAACTTCTTTCCTATGTGTTGTCTGAAGGCAGCTGTGGCAGCTTCTCACTGCCTGGGCTGGCGAATGCAGGGCTCTCCTTAGTCCCAGCCAGTACAACTATATTGGACCCCTATTGTGTTATCCCATAGCTTTAAGTAGGCTGAATTTTAGAGGGGAGGCTTCTTGCAGGCATGCGTTTGTCCCCATCTCTATCCTCTTAAGAATCCTGATTCCCTCATATCCCCCAGCAAAAAAAAAACCAAAGTAACAAACAAAAAAAGCACCACCCCCCTCCAAAAAACCTAGCTTTTCCCAGTTTGGCTCCGAAGTTTGTCTGCCTTCTAATATTCTATGTTGCTAAGGTAGATGAAAAGGCTGCTCAGTGAGGCCTCCCAGCAACATCTGTGATCTGCAAAGGATGGACCATCACAGGGCTACTGAGAGCTGTTCATCTAAGGACCCATAGCCATGGACTGGTGCTGCTTGGAGCAGATAGGAAGCGGAGGCAAAGACACAGAAAGATCAGGGAGGAAAAAAGCTTTTTTCTCCTTTTTCTTTTTTTTCCCCAGCTTTGATTTAAAAGAGGAGACTGAACTACTGTTGCAGTCAGTCCCAGGGGACTACCTGGATTCACTTGCAGAGAAAACTGCTTCCTCCCTTTTCAGGAAAAAGAACTGAACAAATCTAAGCTCCCTTCATGACTGCAGTGCATAAATTCAGATGCAACATCAGGGTCCAGGCACAAATTCCTCACTTATTAGGTAAGGACCACTGAATCATTTAATCTGCAGATAAGACTTGTCTAGGCTGATCCACTAGCACAGCGTGCTGTGCTTAAACACAGGGGGCTCGTGCCAGCAGCCGCAACTTGTTCTCAGTTATTGCATTACTGTGACATTGTGCTGCTGCTGCTGCTGCACTGGCCCATGCATCAAGAAGTGGCAGGTCCCCCAGCGTGACGGAACTTGTGCTTCCTATATAAAGCAAGAACGACTAATGGAGTAAGCGTGTTTGCTCTGAAAGCTGGTGGCAGGACATCAGTGGGAAGAAGTGTTGTTGGGAAGGAGTTAAAAGAAGAGAAAATCAAGAATTCAGGGCATTATTCAAGGACAGGGGACAGTTCTGGGACACGTCATGGAAGCCTGCCAGGAAACTGTACAGATTTGTCTCTTTTGAGATCTGAAGCTGCAGAGAGCTATTAGCAAAGACAGGATCAGCCTCCTCTCACTGGTCTCTGCATATGGGATGTGGAGCACACTTGCTTGAGAGCATGAAAACAGACCCAGAAAAGTTACAAATAAACTTTTTTTATAGAGTTACTTTAGCCACTAGCTCTGTCTTGAAGACTGCTTGCTCTGTCTAGCTCCATGCTACAGGCTGCAGACACACAGCTGCCAGAGATGATGCTCAAAATCCATCCCTGCTTCTGCCTGTGATCCCTCCAACTTCTCTCCCTCCTCTAGGACTGCTAGTCTTAAACAAAATGCACAGGGAGAGCTGGACACTGGCTGTGCTGGGATGCAGTAAGGCTTTGCCAGCCACAGCCATCCTGATGTGGGCAAGCCTAGTGACCTGCGCTGTGTGCTGGGCAGGGGTAAAAGCGTGATGGCACTAACACAGCGCTGGGAGCACAAACAGCAGCATCATGCCTATCGGGGACAAATAAGTAGGGTGGAAAACCAGAAGTGGGCTCTGGAGGCGCTAAGCTTTCTGCTGGGGACAGTCCCTCTAGTAGCTAGAGCAGTCACACGGTCCGGTCTGAAGAGCATTAGATAAGCAGCTGTGCGTGAGAGGAATAGCTCTCTGCTGGGAGAGAGACACACAGCAACTCAGAGATCAGATGTGACTACAATGCATTACAAAGAAGCTGTGTTTTTCCATTCAGGAAACTGGAATTGGGTACAGATTTGTTTATCAGACCAGCTGCTCAGCCCGTACTGAGTGAAGCCCACGGACACCAGATGCCACCAGCATCAATCAGAGCTCCTTGCCATCAGAGCAGCAGCTAGCATTTCTCACTGCATGAGACAGGCAGATATATCAACAGGCAGACTACTTCTGTTCTATTAAATAAATAAAAATCTATGCAAGTGAGGAGCATTTCTCAGAAACAGCTTCGATTCCCTTGTGGAAATGACAGTGGATAAAACATCAGCAGAATCACAAGAGGGACAGCCCATGAAATGGGAATTCACATAGCAGGGGCAGCACAGAATCTGGTAGCAAAGCTCCTCCTGAACAATCCCTCCCACAGATTGTGTGGTGACCCCAACAAGAATACCTCAAGAAGAAAGAGGGAGCCCGAGGTCCTGACATTTTTCAGGATCCTGCTGTCTTTGGGATGTTTCAGACCTGACTCTCATCCATTTTAGCCCCACGTAACAGCACACCTGAGGAGGTCTGTCAAAACAGCAGGGCATGCAAAGCTTCTTCACCCACTGACTTCTTGCACAAGCAATAGGTGCTTACAACTGTGCCTGCAGATTGCTTCTTGCTTTGCCATTGTTTTTCTCTCCCCTACAATTCTCCTTTCCTACCAAGCAAGAGAGCCCGTGTAGGTTGTTACAACATGCTGGAACAGAGGTAGGTCTGATATTTCAGACAGCCCTCTAACAAACTGTTATTGGGAAGGGGTAGGACACGTCAGCTAATGGAAATCATTCAGCCTGCAAGTTGTGTTTCGATCCATCTTCACCACATAAGCACAAGAGGCAGCTGCCAAAAAAAGGCCACTGCACCAACAGTCTTACTCCAGCAATGCCACAGACTGACATAAACCTTGGAGTGTGCTGGTACCTGCCTGCCTATGAACACACCACCATTAATGAAAGCATGGCAGATAACCAATCCTGAGTCAGAGGCATGCGTTTTGACTTGTAAGTTACCTTTTCCAGGCTGCACAACTTAATACAAGTAAGTGCAGATTCACTGAAGCCAGCACAAGGAGGAATGGGAATGAGCTGCTCCACTTTTTTTGAGGAGCTGGGGTTCTGCTTGAGAACGTGCGTGCAATCAGTGCTACCCATTCCTGTTTGTATTTTTTTTCCTAGGAGGAACCATGCTTTACATGTGAGTGCAATTTGGACAACTGTGCCAACAAGTGCTGATGACAAGGAATGCTTCTTGTCTGTAGGGCCCCTGGCTGTGCCCCCTACATCCCTCTCTTAAGAGCAGAGGGGCAGCTCGTGAAACAGAAGGGTGCAAACTTAAAGCATGAAAGGTATCTCTTGGCAGCATGCTATTCACCAGTGCAGCTGCTGGCTACAAACTACCACTGAGACCACAAGTTCAAGTGGATGCAGGAAGGTTATTACCTGTTCCTCCTCAGCAGAGGCCTGACACAACTTCCCTTGGGGCTTCCCACTGATTCCAGTGCAGAAACAGAAGGAAAGAAGGTCTTTCCAGAGACTTTTGCAACTCTTGCCACAGCCTCTGAGCTGAATAATGAACTGAGGTTTGGACGTTTTGGAGAAAGGCGGAGACTGTTCTATGGTGGCCCAAGTCTCCGACCTGCACCACAGAAGGCCCTCAGACAAAGCTACTCTCCTCAGCCTCCAAAAGCTGAACAACACAAATAATACCTGCCAAGCTTGGTGCTTCAGAGCTCCTTACCTGTGCGAGGAGTCCTGGCTGGATCTGAAGAGGCTGGGCCCCAGGAGCCTGAGTGACAATGGGAACGGCATTTTCCATCCGAACGGAATACCCAGCATGCTTCGAAGGGGAGGCTTGTAACCCTGTTCCACCAGCACAGGAGGTACAGCATTAGCAATCAACAAAATCACTAGGAACGTGGGTCTGCTTTTCAGAGGTGCCTAAAGGCACTCTGATGCCAATTTCAATTGCAGTGTTCAGTCCTTCTGAAAAATTAGGCTCTCAGAGTCCCACATACTTTACCCCCACCCAAAGTTACCCATTAAGTGTTCATAAATTTGATACATGTATAAGGGGGAGGAAAAGACATTTTCAAAGATGTTAAGGGATTAACTGAGTTCACATTTTTAGGGTATCTCAAATAAGTGGGAGACACCTCAATACAGTGTCCGCAGGGAGAAAAGGAAGACTTCTCTTTTCCCACATTCTGTGGTTTGGCAATAGAAAATGGCCCTTTCCAGCCAAAACCCACTGCTACGCAAAAATGTTCTCTTTCGAACAAAGCAGGATGGGAATCCAGAACTACGTGATCCCTCAGCCTTGAAGGGGACAGGTGATTTTTCTCTTGCACAGCTTCTCAGGGCTCTTACTTAAAAGGCTCTGATTTGACCATGTAATCTAGCACAGCCCAAACTCCAATTACTGCTGACTCAGCCACACACACATTAGCCTAACTATGCTGGAGAAAACTTCCCCCTGCACACCACCTTAGTACATGGTAGGGCCTTTGCTACCTCCTCTGCTTTAGAATCTTCTCAAGACAGCAAGTGGAAGATGTTAGCTTACATATTCTAGCAATACATTTCTGAAGTCAAACCCTTGAGATGCATTTTAACTATGCAGAAGAGGTCTAGCTGAACTCCACTAGTTCAAAAGAGCTTTGATAATCCTGCAGAACATTTAACAAGTGCCTGGAGACTGCTCCACAGACAGGCTTGTAGAAATGAAGAGCAGAAGTTGCACCAGCTGAACCGAGGTCTATTTAGACCAGTTCCTACAGATAACCTAGCTAGTTTTTCCAAATTGCTACAGCATGTAGAGTCAAGAGAAAGACAAGCAGCTACATCTCATCTTCATCCAAGCTGTCTGACACTGTGGTGCCTGCTACCAGTATACACAGGCAGAGCTATCTGAAGCAGGGATGGTGCTAAATGAACAGTACTGCTAAATGGTCATGAGCATGTTATGAGGGCAAACCCTCAACTCCACCAGCACCACACTCCCTGCTGAATTAACCTCCTGAGTCCTCCTTTTAACAGGTACATCACCAAGAAGTGACGAACCCATTATTTATATACTGATCTATCACTGTTGCAGGGAAGAGTTTTCAAGTTTGCCAAAGTGAGGCAGAACAGCCTCGAACTCTGTTCAGGGAAAAGGACGACAAATATCCCATGCCCTTCCCCAGCTCCACCTCAGAGCCTGCCCTATTGTTTTAGACCACCCTCATGATGCTGAGACCTCCTTTCGACCTCCAACTCATGATGAAGGTGCCTGCAAGACCCTCCACTGCTGCAAACATTTCCATCTGCTATAACCTCGTTGCTCTGATTTACTAGGCCAGCACTTCTATTGTATAACCTGCACAAAGGAAGCTTGCTTCCAACAAGAGTTAGATGGAACACTGCAGTGGGGAGGGAGCAGTGACTAGCCAAGACCTGGCGAGGCTGTTACCTACCTTGGAAGCCTGGTGGGCAGACGATGAGAGCTTGCTGTAAGGGGTCAGGGCGGGCACAGATCTGCGCTGTTCCTGTCTGCAGGGGCATGCTCCGCTGGGCCACCGCAGCCATGGATGCCGCTGAGGGCTGGTAGAGTGCAGATTGGTAATTTAGTATGGAGACCTCAGGGTTGGCTAAGGAAATAGTGGCACTGGAGGAGGTGGGAGCCAGGTTGGTGGTCTAAAGGAATGACGGGAATTAAAACAAAAACAAACAAAAATGAGGGAGATGGGTATGCCAGAAGAAGCAAAACCCAAAGATAAAATAAAAAAGTAAAATAGTGCAAGATATAGTAAAAAAAACAAACAAAAAACAAAAACAAACAACAAAACAACCAAACAAAACAGACTAAAATAAAAAACAGCAAACCAAAACCAAAGAAGGGGTAGAACCAGACACTGAGGAGCACAGAGGTAAGGGTAGCAACAGGGGAAGGAACACAGTCTGCCTCAATGACGGCAGCTGCACCATGCAATGGGATCTCCAGCCACATGGCACTGCTGTTAATTGCTCAAAGACAGCATGTTCTCCAAAGCACAACTATAGTTCCATTTATCATCCAACCGGCTCTGATTTCCAGCATAATGAAGATGGGTTCAGAAAACGGTACTGTCCCCAAATCACATTGTTCACTCATCATGCACATAGCTCCAGAAGCAGCTCACATTTCTTAGGTAAGAGAAACTCAGAACCTCCATGCCATGTGAAGCCTTGCCCTGAGAGGAGAGACTCATTCCAGCGCTTCCTCTACCTTGTATCTAAGATGGCACATGCCCTTATGTTTTGAATTTGCTGGAATCAGAAGGCACAACAGGAGGTAATAATACTGCTTTCAAAGTTCATGACTTTAAAATCTCAGAGCAGAAACTCCAGCAGGGGATGTTGCAAACCTACAAAAATCAGCCCAGGGTTCTGCAAAACATCTAGAAATCTGAGGGTGACTTGTTTTTCATGAGGACTGAGTCTGTAACAGTTGCAGACAAACAACCCCTAAACAGCTCTGCCACTGCTCTATAGAAGTATGTCCTTAGCATTCATGTCTAGGCAGCTAGGCTCTACCTGACCAAAGCCCACCTTTCCCCTCCATGCAAATGCACCAGCATCACTGCTGGAGGTTGGTCAGATAACGCTTTCTCATGGTGAATGTATGAACCCAGGATGAGGCTTTGATCAGGACTGCAGAAAGCAGCAGGCCAAGCATTTCACACTGACCTGGTTGCCACTGGGCCTGAGAAGGGTGGCCACGCTGCACTGTCACAGCCACAACCATAGCCACAAGGGATGCGATGGTGAAACATTTCTTCTTCCTCCTCCTCCCCCCTGTGCAACACACTGAGCAGCGACCACAATAGCTCGCACACTCCTCATCTCAGGAGTCCTAACTGGAAGGAGGCAATCCCCAGATATGCTTTGCAAAGATAGGGAGCACCAGCGAGCCAAGATGAGTTGTATGTTGAACAGAATGGTGAAAGGTTTAAAGCTTGTTCAAATTACAACACCCTTCCTGGAAATGTTTCTACCGCTTCTTCTAGGAACACTGGAGATACCAGTTCTGCTCACAACACACACCCCTTATGAGAATTCAGATTACCATGGACCTCCTCAGCCAACAACTGATCTCAACATCAAGTGCGCAGCAAGGAAACGAAAGCAAGTCTGCATTTCCTACTAGCAACTGTGGTACAAATGGTGCCTCTGCCCTGCAGCCGGGGCCTAGGGAAGCATGTAGCATGCATTTCTTTAGTCAGCACCTCAGATACAGTCAAGAAAGGGAACCAGTGTTTGTAACTAATACCCTATCACACCAAGCCATGATCTATCTCTGTGTGCATCTGCTTTATGAATTGCTCCAAAAGACTTTCTGTGATTACATGCATTGAGAACTGAGTCATGAAGTCTGGTTTTCTGAGTGACATAGGAACACCCTGTATAGCTATAGAGACTCCTTTAGCTCCCTTGCTTTCCATCACTATTTCTGCAATGCCACCTGCAATCTCTGGAATGAATCTTGAGCAGCCTGTTCCCAAAACACTTAAAAGACAGTAGCTATTTCTTGAGCTTCAGACTCCTATACTGCTCTTCCTGGTCCCTTGAGAGTTTCCTTTCACTGTTGTAATACAGCACCACAGTAAACAACTTAGCCTGCTAGTCACATAAAATCTGTCAACCCAGCACCCCCCAACACTGGGGCATCTAAAACTAATACAAGAGTCTAAAGCATGATTACAAAGCCAGAGCCCACCAATGTGGAGTGCAATGTGTTTGGAGTGGGGGTATGTGCACAGGGTTCCCATGTCAACTGCAGCATGTGGAGTAAAACCAATGAGAGATAAGAGTACACATTACCACTAAACTCTTCTTTCCTCTTGACTGGTTACAGTGCTGTGTCTGTCACAGAAGGATTTAAACTCTTTTTACTTCAATGACAATTTGAAGAAGTGCTGTTAAGATCACTGATGTGACCCAGGGAGTGCAGTCCTGCCTGCTGCATTAAGGGACTAAGGAGCTTTTCCCCATAGCAACTTCCCAAGTAAGCAGGATTTATCACCCCCAACAACAACATAAACAATGAGGGCAACATTTCACCACTGCACAAACTGTCACAAGATTACTGCTTGCCTGAAGAAAAGAGAATGAGGAAGAGCAGAAGAGTAAGCCCCAGAATGAGGAAGAGCAGAAAGAGAGTTAGAGAGTATCGTATTTTTGCTGGCATGTTAAATGGGACGCTACTTTGCTTTTTTGTATTCTAGACCTCACCGACCTAAATGTTCCAAGCACTGGCTGCTTCTGATTGATGCCCTTACCTGGTTGTGGACTGTGTTCAGCTGGTTGTTAAAAGTCATGGTCAAGTTGGTCGATGTACTTGGGGCTACATGGGTGATGAATGGTGTCTTGCTCTGGTTCACTGTGTCATACATATTCACCCGCCGCTTGCAAATCTCCATGTTCTGGAAGCAGGACTTGACACTGTGTAAGGAGGAGACAGAAAATCAACTGACCAACCAACACAGGTTAACAGTTCTTCACAGCACCCTGCATTAGGTCTCCACATCAGGCTTGGCATTTTCTAGGCTCTTAAAAACCTCTGCTATTTTATGCAGGTCTCTCTTAACCAGTGAAAGTCAGACTAACCCTGTAGTGAAGACAGCTAAATGGGTGTCAAGATGACAATGGCTGCTCTGGCACTCCTGGGTGCCCCCATCAGTCCGAGCACTGCAGTGTAAGCCAAAGAAAGCAAGCAAATTGGTTGCTCTTTAGGTGGCAGGGCAAGAAACACAAAGCAGCTATTTTAAAGGACTGAAAGAGACTGAGAGCAAGAAAGATAGATACGGTTTCTTTCTTATGATTGAGCCTCTTGCTTTCTGCCTCAGTGCAAGCCTAAGGGTAGTTTAAAAAGTCTTTTGCAAGGAAGAATTTTACTGCTCTTAGTCACCGAGACCCCTGAAAAATCTTACTTGTTCCTTTTAAAAAGTTCACGGAGACCTGAGCCCAGCCAAGTGGATAAAACATTGCCCCTGTCTGCCTAAACACTTCCTTGGATGCTTATCTTAAAGCACATTAGCTGTCCTCCTGCAATCAATGGGACGATTCATATCACAAAGGTTATGCCAAATCAGATTCATCAATGCCCTGAGGGAATCAGGTTCTGAGGTTATCTCAGTCTGAGAATTGCATCTCTAGGGGGAAAGATTACAGCTTCTTCCTCTACACAGACTTTCCTTTAAATGTTATTGATATAGCAATGGAAATTTTGAGAAGTGTAATATTTTGTATCCCCAGTAAAAGAGATGAAATACTCCCTGCATTGCTAGAGCACTCTAGGTGTCTGGTACATGGAACTGCTGGTATTTCATTTTTATAATTGGGATCAGAAGCATACAGAGGTTTAAGAGATAACAACATAGCAATCTTGTGCAAAAATGTATTTTTCATAAAATCTCATTTTTTCCAAGGTGTAAAAACCAATACAGGTTTTCCACAATTCTTCCATAATAATTGTTCTTACAAATGAGACCTCAAAAGTGGAAACGCCCTTATTTCTATTATTCCAACCCAGAAAACAGAAAACGAAGCAGTGAAAATCAGCTGTAGCTGTAAAAAATCAGCTGTATGCATAATTTATTTTTTAACAATCTGTTAAGAAGTGGGGGAGATAAACACATCCTCACATAATTTTTAAGAAATAAAATGTCTCTTCAAAAGGAAGAAGCTTATATGATCCCTATTGGTCAGAAAGAGGATCTAAATCTTTTTATCCCTGTCTTGTATCTTACTCATGTGGTCACCTTTCTTCTCTTACTGGTAACAGCTCGATAAGTGGATCTGTGGCATACAGACCTGCAGATAAGACAGGCTCAGGACGCTTCATAGCTGCTCATTCATTCAAAAAACTATGAAATACCTCTAAGTCCTAGAACACTTAGAAAAATCTAACACTTATTATATAAACATAGAAGACTACAGGGTTGCATTTTCCCAATCAACTAAAGACTGTAATCCTCTGTCCAATAAAGCCAAAAGCACTGGAAAGAGTGTATGCTCTGTATATACTGTGTGCTACCAAACAGTTTATATAACAAGGTATAATCTCTACTAATGTAATACTGCGGTCTCTGTCTTTACTTGAAAAAAAGGGGGAAAACCAGAAGCCAGAGCCAGAGCAAATTCGACAGAAAGGCTGAGAAGTACTCAACAATATAACAGCCAGGCAGTTTAATACGTGAAATGGGGAGCTAAACTTCTGTTGCTGTTTGCTTGTTTTGCTTAATTAAGCAAAACAGCCCCTCTCAAGCATGCCACAGCAGCGATTTCTTCCAGAAGCTGCACCTTTCATATATTCTCACACTCTTTCCTGCCTGATTTACTTTCAGGAGAGATTACAAGTCCTGCATCTCTTGAGGCTTTGAAGCTTCTATTCTCAAAACCACAGGCAATCACAGACAAAATTTCCATCACCTTGCCATGCTGGCTACAGCTTGTTGCTCTCTTTACCAATCACTGCTTCCAACATGGAGGGGCTGTGCAGGGTTATGCACCTGGCTGTTGCAGCATTTAGTATTCACAGACCTGAAGCTGAATTTTTTACTTGGGTGAAATTCTCATTGCTGTTGGCCCCAGTGATATTTTCAGCCTTTCTGGGGCTTTGCCTGAGCAGCCACAAGTGAGCACTTCAAAAATGAAGATGCGATTACGGTCTGTTGCACTAGCGGAAAGGTTTGTGATGGCAATGCACTATGCCACAAATCTCTCCTATCTTATACATCAGCTCTTGCACAGTAAGGACTAGGGCAGATTAAGAGATTTTTGCATGTGATACTAACATTGTTAGAACATACTGTCATTTTTTAAATTTATGAATGCTTTTATATAAAACTTATTTTCTCTCTGTTCAGCACAACAACCTCCCATCTTGTTTTCATTACATTTATCACTTACTATCTATGCATAGATAACAATGCTCAAAGGTGTCTGTGCAGGGTAAGTCTAGATCTACATAGATTGTGTACCCACTACCTTACGGTAAGCAGCTGCTCTTATCTTGTGATAAATGTTAACAAAAAGACAGCTACAGCTCCTTCACAGAGGGAACAGTACCTTAAATGAACTTGAAATACTGCAGGTAAGAGCACACATACAGGCAGGAGAGGTCACAGAGCAACCTGTTACTCTGCAGCACCCATACAAATATGCTCTATGGCTTTTTGAGGAGTCCTCTTTATTTTCATACTTGAGCTCCTCACAGTCTTTTTAAACACCCATACACATGGCATCCAGTGAACTACAGTGCTGTGCCAGTAACTGTTTCCTGACGAGGTGAAGGGACAGACTGCAAAAGCACCTCGAACTGCAAAGTGCTGTAGAGCAGGATATTCAAAGGTAGGTGTTCTGAAGGCTTTGGGAAGCTCGCACTACACATTTGCCTTCACTTACCCCTGAGAAGCTTGACCTTACGTGAAGTGCCCAGGGGAAAAGAAAGCAATATGCTGGGTGCAGGTTTCCTGAATTTTAGCTGCTGTGCTCTGTGACACAGCCTTAGGAGAAGGGGGAGTCAGGCCTGACAGTTCATCGCATCTCTATTGGGTGGTGGAGCCCATCTCTGTTCCACTCAAATGTGTCAGCTGAGGTTAGGGCATGGCGTTTAATGCTACATAGGCAAGCAACAACAAAGCTGAGAACTGAACTCCTTGTTCTGTTGCCTGTGCCTGTAAACCAGCCTGCTGTAGAAAAAGCTCTTGCTTTGAAAAACAAACAGCCCAAACTGACCCCTGAAAGATGGGAAGGTTCTACGAGAAAGGGTTGGCTCCCCACTGCAGATAAGGTTGATTACTGAAGTAACAATCAAGACTATATTACTTTGAGATATACTGATACTTTCAGGGCTAATTGCATAATTTCTGCTGCATTTTAATGCAAACATATGTAATTATTGAATATTTACATAATGAATGTAGCACTCTCTGCAGTGTTTTAAATGCCAAGCACCTACAACACAATTCTCACAACCTTAAGAGGTGGCAATCCTCTTATTTTTCAACCAGAAAAAGACTAAAACCTAGGGGTTACACATCTTAATAATGCCCCTCGGGCACATTTGTTCTCCACCACAATCAGCTCTCCCCTTCACCCCTCAATTCAAAGCCCAAGGGAAAAAAAAAGCTACATACTGTGTGCTGTGCGGGAAATCGAGCAAGTGCGTCATGGTGACAAAGGGGTGGTTCAGAGTTTCAATGGGTGTTATTCTCTTATCTGCATCTATCGTCAACATCTTCTTTAACAGATCTATGAACTCCCGCCGGTCTGCCTTTTCCACCAACATATCACTTCCTTCCAAATCTGTTGTCATGTTCACCTAGAGGAGAGAGGACAAGGGTGAGGGCTACAGGGAAAGAGCAGATGGTCAGGTCTCCATCGAACTGTGTTTACTCCTTGTTGGAGCACATGCCCTGCAAGCTCCACTGTCTGAAGGGGTAGTTGCTGAAGTCACACAGCAGACTCTGCGGTGGCTAGTCATCTGGCTTGTGCGTGTCAGATCTCTAGACAGTCCGTTAAGTGTTCAGCTCGCTTGGGTCAGCGGCTAATGAAACACTTAGTCACCCTCCAGTGAAGATGAACAGCTTCCATGTGGTAGCAAGCAAGCTCTGATAATCAGTGTATTTATCATATAAAGGACTGTGCTACCAGATCCTTAACAATGTGTCCTGTAAGCAAAAACATGTATAAAATAAATAAAAATTGGCAGTAGGTTTATAAGAAACATCCTATTCATGGATAAGGTGCCAGGAAAAAACACAATAGTGTGTTATTTTATACATTTATACAGTCTCCTGTGATCTCAGTGCTCCACTTTTGCATGTTAGCTTGTGAATGCTACAGTGTCTAGACTTTGCTAGCACAAACTCTAGCTTCGTGCTAGCCTTGTGTGCTGGTGTTGTGACAATTTTGTGTACTAGTTTGCTAGCACAGACTCCAGTCACAGGGGTGGTTATGCTGGAATTAACTTTCACAACCATATGGAATTGACACAGTGAATTAGTACTCCCTGTTCCCCCACCCAGCCATGTTTTACAAAGAGCACACTCTTCTGCAGCATGGTGATTATTTCCAATGTCACTGTTTTATAAATGGAAATACTAAACACAGAGAATTGACTTGCCAGTGGTCACACAGAGGAGTACTAAAGAGGCAAGAGAAAACATAGGATTTCAACACCCAGAGGTGTGACTTTGCCATTTTCCAAGGATGTTTTCCTACTGGACATCAAGCCCACATGCCCTCATGCGCAGTTTTCCCTATAAAGCAATGCAGAATGAGCTGATTTGGTAGGCATAATCCTGGTATTTTTCAGGAGCTGTCATAGGAACAGGATACACAGAGAGATCATGTAGTTCCCCTTTGTCAGCATTGCCCCAGAGCATGAGACAGTGCTGCTGGTTACTCACCAAAGCTCTTACCTGTGCCATATCATCCAAACAGTTGAAAATATACTTTCTTGCTTCCTTCGACTTAATTCCTGTCTCTGCCTCATGATCATCTGGTGTCTGTTTAGAACAGGAGACAGGCATTGAGCAGAACTGCCCTGCAATCAGCTGTGGGTTACATGCCACTTCCCGCTTGTGCCTTAACCTGCCCTCATCAGAGACCACTGTAGTATCATGCCTGCCTCATCAGATAACATTTACACTACCTCTGCCATGGTTATGTGAGAGCTTGTGTGTCACAAGGTGATTTATCCCTTCTTTGTCACTTCAGAGGATCCTCACAATGGCAGTGAGAGTCTCAAAGGTCTTACACCCACCCCAGTGTGATGCTCAGCATCCCATCCTTACAGCCGTAAGTCCAATGACCTCTCTCCTTGGGAAGTGAATGCAACCAGACACGCTGGTACAAGAGACTCAGGGCTCACATGCATTACTAGCAGTTTTGATTGTCAGAATTAAAATGCTTTCTTCCTCCCTCCCACAGTGAGTTAGATATTAGAGTGAAGTCTGCCCAGGGCATGTTTCATTTAAACTACACATCAATTCATTGACTACTTAGAAGGAGATTTGCAGATCAATTCCAGACTTAAATTTCCCACAAAGCAGTGGCAAGCAGGTGGACTAAAGGCTGCAGACTCTGGGGATGGCAGTTTTACCTGGGGCTATACCCACTCCAATGTCTGTGCTGCACTGCAAAAAGCAGGGACCTAGGCTCGGGGGTGACCTGAACATTTCCTCACTTCCAGCCAACAACTGCAAGGTAAAAGAAACAAGGGAATATCTTCCTACCTTCAGTCTCCACAAAGGATATGGTGAGTCTGTATCCCTGTTGAAAAACCTCGTAGTCTTTGTCCCTGCACTTAATAAATACTCTGCCGGTAAGCCCTGTGTCTGTGAAATATAGCGAATCTGTAAGAGAAGGATGACAGGTCACTGTTTATCCTGTGGAGATCTTCCTTGGAAGGAGGGCAGGAGGCATTTAAAACAACAGAACAAAGGAAGAAAAAGGTAGCACGTAGTTAGACTTCACCAAAAAAAAATCCCCCCAAAACCCAGTACAAGGAATGAGAGGAAGAAGAAATCCTGCATGTATACGAAATCCTCCATTTATCACATACATCACTTGAAATTCACCTCTATGGTACAATCCCACAAAGCCTACGGATAAAGGGGGAAAGTCCCCAGGTTTTAGAGGTCAGACAGGGAGACCCACACAGAGATTTCAATGGGGTGTTTCACTGCTTTGCACCTTTTTATGCCATGCTCTGCTCTCCAGGAGGTAATTTCAACGATTTGATATTTGTGCTCTAACTTTTGCTGGCTTTTTTCCCCCAGCTGAGTTCACAGCCTCTCCTAGGAGCACTCTGAAGTTAGAAATGGATGACTATCTTTGAACTTAGTTGAAATATACACTCAAATGAACTGACACCCTCACAGTATACAAAGTACTTCATCTCTGACTTTGTTATTTGGGCTAATTCCTCGAGTATGACCTCGCTGTTGCTCACATAGCTAAGAGATGCTACACATGTGTTTCCAGGATTTTAGACTTTAATTTATGTATTCAAAGGAGAAATGGCCTGTGACTACACAATGAGAGACCGATCTCATACATGCCTGGGGTGCCACACAAGCCCTTAATTTTGACAGCTCTTGATTTCTCTCTGTTTCACTCTGCAAAACTGCTGCAACTCTGCAAGACTACTAAAAATAGTCATTGATGCTTGAAAATTCTAGGGAAGAATGGAAAGCATTTTTGAGAGAAGAGACAGAGAGGGATTAAAATAAACAACTAAAGGCATAAAAAGCAGCTGTGGTTTCAAAAGACTTCCAAAGCACTCAGGACCCAGTTCATTGAGAGCAGCTTGTTTGCCTTTGCAGCTCCTAAGGTTCATCAGAGCACATGCACCTGAAGAAGCACCAGGATCAGCCCCTATCCCTTTGCCAGCTCCTCAGGAACCCTCACCCGCCTTAACCAGAGGAAGCTTTGTACTGGGCAGTTCAGCTGGACAGGTAGGTATGGTGATTTTTTTCAGCTGTGCGTTTTATGAGTTTTGGGGTGCAGCAGAGAGGAGAAATAAAACTTGCTTCGTGCTTGGCATGTGATTTTCAAGTACTTGTAAGTTTTTCAGCTACATCTGATTTCCTCTGGAGTCACTAATGGCCCTGCCCTTCACTGCAGATTATTTCCCCTGCCAAATTTCAACTTTAAAGCTCTGACTGAAAGCATACTAGTTACAAAAGAAGAGTCAAAGAAACACTTTCATATATGAAAACCTTATTACTCTGTTTTTATTTTATTTTATTTTTAATTTTCTAGAAGAAAAAAGACCCTCTTCAGGCTACATTTGCAGACACCTAACATCACCCTGAAGAAGATTATGGAAAAGAGTGCTCTGCAGCTCTGGCTCTAGCAGCTGCTGTGCTATCAGTTTTAGGACTACAAAAGGAGCACAAAAGCCTATAGGGAGAGAAGCACAAGCACGACAGCTTCTATTAAGTGGAAGGCTACACCACTGTGAGCGTTTTCCTTCTTGTCACTGCTTTTAATATGCACCCTCACAAAAGGGGTTATGAAACGCAGCAGAGTTCGTGCAGTTTCTTCTAACAAATAAACCTTTATTCAACACTTTGCTGTTACAGCAAAGAAAGGGTGCGTGCTCTGCTCAGTGAGGACAGACATGTACAGAGCTCTCCAGTCAATGGCAATGTTGACTCTTGACTGAGATTTCACTTAGGTGGCCAGATCTTAAAAGCCAGCGTACCAAACAGTACACTGGTTATCTAGAATAAATACCCCAGCTGGATAATGAAAAGGTTGACTTGGAAGGGTAAGAAATGCATACTCCTTGTTAGCGAAACAGAAAAAGCTGGCATATGTTCACTCTGATAAGAGAAGGAAAGGACACCCCTGCACTTACCAGCATCCAGAGCAGTATCTATACCCACCTGATCGTACTCCGAAGCTCCCGGGTACAATGGCCAGCCCAAGAACAGCTCTGCAATGACACATCCCAATGACCACATATCGATTGCTTCACAAAATGGTAAACCGAGGATGATTTCGGGGGCTCTGCAAAGGAAGAGGTTACAAAACATCAGCAACAGGAGCAGATCCACTTGGCTGGCATAGGGATGCCCACGCAGAGCACAACATGAAGTTGCTCGATGTGAACAAATGTCATTGCAGCGATGGAGCTGAGGGGTGCACTAGCCACCGGCAAAGTGCTTGCTAACCTAGCATTAGCTGGTGAATATTTATCCTTGCAAAAGAGTCTTCTGGCAGCACCTAGCCAGGAGACAGCTCTGTTTCACAGCAGTTTGCAAAGGAGAGAAGTACTGCGATTTTCATTCAGCAGGTGGGAAAATGAAGCACAAAACAAACGTGCACTCAAAGCCACCCAATTAAGGCCTCTGCTCAAGGGTCTTGGGACCAAGCTTGCTGTCCTGTAGAGGAACCGTGCGGACTCCCATGCTGAAGCTCAGTGGGCTTTTACAAACAGCCAGACATTAAATAATCATTACAGGACTGGTATAAAAGGATTACTTTTTAAACAAATGGATGTAACCATAAAACAGAAATAATGTAATTAGATCTATTAGACCTAAGTCTTTTCCTCAGGAGGAAGTAGCCAAGAAACCTTCACTTCCCAGTCTGTCCCAGGCACCTGATTATATTTCCTCTTCCCTTTCAGCCCAAACAACCAAAATGTGGCAGCATGCTCGCTACACGTTTACTGCTGGCTTCAGGAGGTGCCCACTGAGGCACGTCTGCTCAGTGAGTTTCAGCATGAGCTCAGCTGAGGAAGGAGAGGACAAGGTAAAAGCTCTGCTTCAGCTCTCCAGAAGGATCCCTGGCTGGGATGTGGAGGAGATGTCCAAATAAGCAAAACCAGCCTCAGCTCAGACTTCCACGGGACCTTAGAGTGAGGCTCATTTCACCTTCCACCCCGGTGGAAGCTGTTGTCACATCTTAACTAGGTACCATGCACACTGTGTGGTCAATGAGGAGACACCCCCGCACCCGCCAAAGGGGATTTATCCTACTGCCTTGGGATGGTTTGAATCCTTCTCCACTGGTGCCAAAAAGGCCTAGAAGATGACGTTAGATGAGCTCCCTAAACTCCACTGGCCAAGGTGAGAGAACGTGAATCGTGCCCCAAATGCTTTGTGTTCCAAAAGCAACTTCCATGCGGAAGAATCAAAAGTATTTTACAAATACTGAAAACGTTACACAAAACCCACCTCTGCACACAAACACTTCCTAGTTTCCCTTTGTGGAAGCTCAGACTTCCACATGCATTTAAGCGCCACAGTTGATACTTTACAAAAGGATCACCTAAAGCTTCTTTCCTGCTCTTCTTGCAGATCTTGCAACACTTCTAAAACCCCAGCTCCTGCAGTCAGGTGATGTTAAACAGAAATAAAACCTCACTTTCTCATGCTTACTTTCCCATTGCTAACTGTTAAGAAGAATGCACAGATGACAGATAAAAGAAAGAAACTTGCATTGCCTTAAAACTTTCATAATTTTAAAAATAGCCTTGAGATTTCTCAGGCCCTGATGCATATTTTGAGAATGCCTGGGGTTGACTATTGAGCAAATCAAGTGCCACCATCTAGAGCTGGAAATAGGACCCATGGTTCCCAGTTTCCCATCTGTCATCAGGATAAGATCTGACACTAGTGAGATCATACTAAGGATTACCAATTGCAGTGGAAAATATTATGTTTTAATCACACCATTACACAGTCATGTGAAGACGAGTCTTTAGCCAAGAAACCACGCAAAGTGGGTAACTTTTTCCAAAGAAATAAGCTAATGCCCTGCAGCAAGAATCCATGCCCCATCTTCAGTCTACAAACTCCCCGATTTCGGACTGACTGGTAATAATAAAAGCCCCAAACCATCTGTTCTCAAACCAGCAATGCAGAATGTAAAAATTACAGGAAATTCTGTGATTTTAAAGATGCTTAGAGTCATTCTCTCAAAAAAATATGCCAGAAAGTTTAAGCTACCATTAGCTCTTCTAGCTTCATCTGTGCTTGTTGTTCTCATACCCCCCTGTTCTCTAGCCTACTGTGACAAACTTTTTATTCTAACTCCAATCTCTCTTTAAGAACAAGGGGTTAATTTTCTCCTTTCCTCCCATTCCATCATCCCTGCACACTACTCGACACCTAGACAAAATGCAGAGAGAAAAAGACAGCTATGGTGACCTGCATCTCATTACTATGTAAATCCTGCATTCAAAGCCATCTGCCTCTCGCTGTCTGCCTTCCACATTGTGAACGAAAATGTCCCTGGTCACTAACGAGAGCTCAGCCACACATCGGCTGAACTTCAAATCCCTCCCACTAACTCAAGTGGAGGGAGCAGAGGGGTGGACCATCGATAGGATATTCCCAACGTGATTTTGTTTAGAAACCTCCCTGATCATAAAAATCACTTGCACTGCTGTTATATGAAGCACATACCTCCTCCCTTCCCTCCCCACACTTATGCTGCCAGCACCTCCAGACCCCTGCAAGAAGGGATGACCTAGAATTTGAGGTTCCAAAATCTCTAATTTTTTTGCTTCTTAAAGCTCTAGCTCTGGACTGCAGCAGTGAGGAGAGATTTTCTTTTTTCACACACAAAAGAAGTTTGGCACCTCCACTGTTGGGAAGAAAAGCACAAAACCAGTGTCCATACCATTTAAACACATAAAATACAACTAAATGGGATAACATTCATTATATTAAACCAGACCTATCACTGTAGGAAGGGAAGGTGGTGAGATAGTTTTATTTCATTTTACTTTTTTTGGAAGCTAAATGAAGCCTATAAATAAGTTGCCATCTTTACCCATTCAGCCCCAAACAGATGACAATTTTGGAACACAGATGAGAACCCCTGTGAGTGAGAGGCCAGATCAAAGTGATATGGTGCTCTACGAACACCCCAGCCAGCGTTCTCTGTGGCTTGCTCCCAGCCTTCGTGTTGTGACTGCGGTTTTTCCATGGAGGGGGAGTGGCCCTAAGACAAAAAGATCTTGTTAGCTTAATTACGCAGTCCTTAAGACACCACAAGAATGGCAGCTATCAGACTCCACACAGGCTTCCACACTTTCAGCTGTAGACACCTCCTGTCTGCCATGCAAGAGGGAGCTGGAGTCAACCCAGGAGGAGCCATGGTCTCTGCCTGACTGCTAAAACTCTGCTAATGGCCAACACTGAGCGCTTTGATGGAGGATGCTACACGTTCCATAATAAAACAACTAGTCAACTAATAAAATGCTTTCTGAACCTCTGCTGGGTGAAAATTCCTTTGTATGCTCCGTTATGGACACACAGATCCATCTGCACATAGACCTGTATCTAACATGTGGATCTCCTCTCTTAACATGAACACGTCAATTTTTTTAGACAAGGTGAGATCAAGACAAGGTGAGATCCTGACTTCAATCACATGTTGTGGCACAGAGTTCCACAGGCAACCTTCTGCTTTCAATAGCATCTTGCCTCAGTTGTTTAAAGCCTGATTTTCCTTCATCAGGTTAGGTTTAAATGTGTCACCTCTCACTTCATGTTAACATGGACTCACATAGAGGTGAAGATGGAAGTGCCTGCATCACCTTTCTTTTAGAACAAGCTATTTTTATATCCCTGCCCTGCTCCTCCCTGTTTGCAGCAGCTTCTGGCTTCTCAGTGTTTCAATCCACTTCCACTGCCTGGCCCTACAACTCCCCTTCCTGACATGAGTGCTTGGAGACAGGCTGAACAGCCTAGAAACAGTTAAACATGAGGATATTCCCCAGACTTATTTTACACTATTTGCAGAATGCTTTTGCGTTCCAGTCTTCCCCAAGCCTAATATTTTGTTTGCTTTTGGAGTGACACGAGGCATTTCAGCAGATGTTTTATCTGGGAGATCCTCTGAGACACACAGTCCTTTCTCCAGAGGAGCTGCAGTTAATTTAGGACATAGAATTATGTAGAAATAGTTTGGTTTTTCTCTTCCAATGCTAACTGCCTTTCAGTACTGCGCTGATCTGGCATAATGTTGCCTATAATCTAGATCAAGTCCCTTAAATGTTCCTCACTCTTTTCTGCAGCCTAATCTAAGCAAGCCTGTGGTATCTGTGCACTTAAGCACTTCATTGCTGGTCTACCACTTTCTACAAATAATTAATACATTAAATAACTCTGGTCCTAAAACATGCATGCAGTCCACTCCACAACTGACCCTTTTATGCCTAAAAGCACTCAGATTTAGCTCAGCAATACAAACGTATAATTCTCTTTTCCAAAGGAAAGAAAACATTTCCACATTTTAGCTGGCTCTTATGTGGGATTTCTCCATCCTGTAGCTGGTAACGCTATGTAACAGGGGAAAATTCCCTACTACAGTGTACATGTCAGAATATTGCGATTATAAATCAGAAGGACATTTCACGTGGCAGCAGGTCCTCCTGGACCAGCACTGTCTTCAGCAGACCGCTCCATGGCTGCATAGGGAAGTGTTTTCTGTACTGACACAGACTCACCAAACCTTTTGATTCTGGTAAGGATCCTGTCTGAAACCATGCAAAGGCAGCCCAGTGCCAGGTAACTTGGTATATGCAGAAACATCCCTCTTTACTGCTCTCTGCCAGTTTTTTAGCTGTGCATCCGTAACACCCTCAGCACATTAATTCCAGCCTCCATTATGAGACAAAGGGAAAACAGAAAACTTCATCCTGTCCTTCCTCTCCTTCAAGCTTCCTTCAGTATTTCTCAGAGAAAGGCACTCCCCTTCTGTATGTGCAGGCACAACCTGCTCCATAGCTTACACAAATCTCACCAGCATAGACCAAAGATTTAGATCACTTGCCACCAGCTTGGGATAGACTGAAGAGCCCTGCTAAGAGCCTACATCTCCAAGGGAAAATGTCATAGCCCATTCCCATGTCTCCTACCCCCTTTTTCCAGACCAAATTACTCCCTGGCCAGCAAAGGGTGACCTGTTCCTGAGCTCAGCACTGGGTCCAGTAAGTCTCCCAGCACCATGGAGCCTTGCTTGAATGTGCCTGTGTACACCAGAGAGCTGCT